CTTTGTTATTATGACCTACTGACAGCTCCGGCACGGTAATATGATATTATTACCGTGGCTCCGGTGTCGATGAAAAGTATTGACACAATACTACCACAATCTTCTATAAAAGCACGAAATTGACACCGGAGAGGTTGCATCATCCCCTTCTCAGGGGTTGATTGCATCAGATGAAGCCTGTAAGGCCCCTTTGGCCATAGGCATCCCCCACGGGTGTGTTTTAGTCAATAAGAGTCTGACATAACCCTGCAGCCGGCTATAATCCATGAAGATTTCACATCCCGCCTGGGAGGAAACAAATAAAAACAATAAATATTATAAATATGAAAACAGTGATCAGAGGCGACGAGCGTCCCAACATGTGCGACTAAGAGATCCTATTACTATTTTGTTGGAAGTTTTTTTCGAGACTTACGAGTAATGTGCGGTTTAGCGGCCGACTTCATGGTGTTACTTTTCTGTTACAGTGTTGCGCGCGCATCTTAAAATTTCACTCTCATCATTTTTTCATAACGCGCCCGCGGCTAACTTCATTATGTTACTTTTGTGTTACAGTGATGCGCGCGCATCTTAAAACCTCACTCTCATAATTTTTTCATAACGCGGCTAAAGAAGTATAACTTCAAAAAACGGAAAGGTCAGTCAGTGCCGAGATTTTACGGAATAAAGTACTGAACATTGAACGTGTTTATGTGTAAACCGACCCCCAACCAACATCAGAAGCGTAGATAAAGTATTTTCACGCCCCACTTTAACAAAAATGGATGATACGCCCCAACGCAATCACGCACGATGCAATCAACGTAGTTCAAGTCAAGTGTTGAAGAGCAGCCATAGTCCTGTTCTAGCAATTGAACCTAGGTTGCAATACCATGAGCACCGATCTAGAGCTGAAAAAAGAGGAGACGCTTGTACAGACAGGCATTCTACTTCAAGATATCAAACACCCGACCGTGGCCTATGTGCTTCTTCATCTTCAAGTCGTCAAGTACTGTGTGACAAATCGCGCAGCCGTTCACCACCTAAGTTCGCCACACCGCAGCCGGTCGGAACATTTGTCAGAGAAACAACACTACCTTACAAATCTTATAAAGAAGTTGTAAAATATCTACCTATTGCTTTATTTTTATATTATTAAAACAGCGTTCATCATGTAAAATTTATTCGCGAATAACATTTTGTTTGTTTTTATATTGATAATTATAAGATGTATTACATAAATCTTGCTTTGTTATGGCCTACTGACAGCTCCGGTATCGATTGAATAGTATTGAAACGAAAAACTTTTCTTTAAAGCACGAAAATGACACCGGATCGGTCAGTCCTTTTCTCTATGGGTCAGTCAGTACCGAGTTTTTACGGAATAAAGTACTGAATATTGAACGTGTAAACCGACCCCCAACCAACAGTCATGACTAGTGCACAAATCATGCAAGCCAAAAAAAGAAAAGTTTTTGTCGGGATTTCATCGAATGCGGTTAGCGTCGTATTTTAATTATTGACGTGACAACGTCTTAAATTAGGTTGCGGCTGGGAGTCACTTATGAAAAAGTGTAACGCTCGGTAACGTTACGATGAGTTTAAGTTTACATGTACAATGTTTTAGTAAACAAAATATATTTCTATAGTTAAAATTTGTGCAATTCTTATTTTCATTCAATTCCTTGTTCCTATTGTGCAATTTAATTATATTCATATCAATAAATATTCTACCGAGAAAAAGACGTTGTCACGTAAAATCTTCGCCCGTAAAACCGACTTTACAGGCAACCATTTTTTGACGTGACAACGTCTTAAATTAGGTTGCGGCTGGGAGTCACTTATGAAAAAGTGTAACGCTCGGTAACGTTACGATGAGTTTAAGTTTACATGTACAATGTTTTAGTAAACAAAATATATTTCTATAGTTAAAATTTGTGCAATTCTTATTTTCATTCAATTCCTTGTTCCTATTGTGCAATTTAATTATATTCATATCAATAAATATTCTACCGAGGAAAAGACGTTGTCACGTAAAATCTTCGCCCGTAAAACCGACTTTACAGGCAACCATTTTTTTTTTTTTAATTCGTTCATAGTGGATATTGTGAAATAAAATTGGTGTGATTTTGTGTTAAAACCGGCTGCGCAACTGAAGAATTATAGACCGGGAGATGATGACACAAAATACTTGGTCATTTGTACCAGTATGGCGGTTCTTCAGGGGTCTAATTACGTAAAGGCAGGCAAAGCAAATGCTTATATTTTCAGATAGTCGAAAAAAAGAAGTAGGCGGTAGCGTAATGCCATACTTCTCGGGTGTGACTTACAGCCCGCCATACCGACGCGAATACATTAATTTAAATAAAACAATTCAACCATTTGTACCAGGCTAATTTTTGCACAGCTAATCATCGTCGAGTAGCCATTCACGAAAATCACCTTGCCATACTTTTTCGACAGTTCCCAATGGCCGCCATACCGCTGCAAAGGAGTAATTTTTTTTTCGCCAATTTTTTTTTTTTTTGTTGAAGTTCTCCCGTTTTAGGGAAGGCAAAGGGAACAATACCCATACAGCCTAGTCTTTAATTAAGTTAATCTTCTTTTTGTTTTTACATTAGAATGTCGGTGTGACGCATTCTAATGTTTCTTGGAGTGTTTGGCACGAAATGTATCGAGTAGGCTTTTTCGATAAGCTTCTGTGAGGTAGTCAACACTACAATAAAATTCTCACGTCCACTTGACCGGAATAGCGTATATTTTAACGATTCCACTAATTCTTCAGTTACGCAGACGGTTGTTACATAAAACCACACCAATTTTATTTCACAATATCCACTATGAACGAATTTAAGAATAATTAAAATAAGACGCCAACCGCACTCGATGAAATCCCGCCAAAAAAAACTTTTTTTCGCCAAACGATTTGTACCATTCTGAAACTTTTTTTAACAGTTCCCCGTATGATCATAAATAGAAGTCTGATAATGGGACCAAACCTGTGGGAGGTGGCGAATGTGAACAATATTTTTTCAAAGTCCCAAGATTTTATTCGTAATTCGAACGATTTGTACCAGTATGGCACTAATTTTTCCTGTAAGTTTGAGGTTTAACGAATATAAATACAAAGTTTTAAACACCTAAGTGGCGGCAATCTTGTCTTATAAGCAGATTTTATGTTGTATAATATTCTGCGGTTCCCACCGCTCGAAAGATTTCTCGAATTGTAGAGGTCTTGGCTCATCGTGTTGGTAAGACACACGGAGGAAAAACAAAGAGGAGGTGTGGTGATTAAATTTCCTCAAGAAACGACGCGTGATAATTTGCGGAATGCGGGGTGTTCAGCTCCGCCCACTTCTCAATATTTCATCTATCGGCTAATAGCAAAACTAGCTAAATAGAATTCGAAGATGCCGAGGATTCCGGTTCCGATTACATTTGAATTCCATGCATTTTTGTAAATCTTTCGGATTAAACTGCATTAATATTGATATTGCATATAATTTTTTTCACATGTACCCTTCACGATATTACAGGTCGGCTATTTCGAAAAAAGGTTTCAAGATTGTATTAGTTGTCGGTATATCAGAGCGAGTGTGACAGCTCCAGCCCCCCTGGTCACGGTATAGGCTTATTTTTTAACACAAAAAAAAATCCGAAAATTATTTTTTCAAGTATGGCATCACTTTGGCACTTCTCCATAAGTACTGTGTAATTTTCCCAAAACTTAGTTGTTTTTTTTTTAAGTTTGGAAATGATTTAAAATGCCATATTTTTACAATTCGTTCCAATTTTTTTTTCATATCTTGCTCGAGTGTGACAGTCTTCCGCCCCATAGTTATAGTATGGGATTATTTTTTTTTAGGTTGAATTTTATCCAAATAAACCGAATACAATGATGCCATACTGTAACAAATGATTTTATGTCTTGTACCTTGAAAACGTGTCGAAAAATCAGGTTTTTCAAGTATGGCGCCACTTTTTCCCTCTACTACAAGTATGGCAAATATAATAATGGTCACATTGTATCGTATAATTTCCAAAAATCCAAATGCCATACTGGTACAAATCGTCAAATATTTTTTTTCTTTTTCACCTTTTAGCTCAAGTCCGACAGTCATCCGCCCTATGTTTACAATCTGTAATAATTTTTTTTACGTACAATTGCATCCAAATGACCAGAATACAATGATGTCATGATGTAAAAAATGATTTTACGTATTTTGCAGTCGTATTTTTGAAACGTGTCAAATAAATAAGTATTTCAAGTATGGCAGCACTTTTTCCCCCTACTAGAAGTATGGGAAAAATAATAACGGTCACATTTTGCCAAATACTTTCCAAAAATTCAAATGCAATATTGGTACAAATCGTTTGGCGAAAAAAAAAATTACTCCTTTGCAGCGGTATGGCGGCCATTGGGAACTGTCGGAAAAGTATGGCAAGGTGATTTTCGTGAATGGCTACTCGACGATGATTAGCTGTGCAAAAATTAGCCTGGTACAAATGGTTGAATTGTTTTATTTAAATTAATGTATTCGCGTCGGTATGGCGGGCTGTAAGTCACACCCGAGAAGTATGGCATTACGCTACCGCCTACTTCTTTTTTTCGACTATCTGAAAATATAAGCATTTTTGTGGAACAAATCGTTCGACACTCGTTATTTATCCGACGCGTTCGATTAACGCCCACGCGATTGGGCCGCCAGTGCGAGCGCTTTGACCATCATTTTCCTTTTTGCCTTTACGTAATTAGACCCCTGAAGAACCGCCATACTGGTACAAATGACCAAGTATTTTGTGTCATCATCTCCCGGTCTATTAGTGGAATCTTTAAAATATACGCTATTCCGGTCAAGTTGACGTGAGTACTTTATTGTAGCGTTGACTACCTCACAGAAACTTATCTAAAGAAGCAGAAGCCAACTCGATACATTTCGTGCCAAACACTCCAAGAGATATGAGAATGCGTCACACCGACATTTTAATGTAAAAAAAGGAAGATTAATATAGCTTAAGACTAGGCGGTATGGATATTGTTCCCTTTGCCTTCTCAAAGAAGAGAGAGAATCTTTAAAAAAAAACAAAAAAAAAAACAAACCTTGTTTGTAAATATTGTGAAACTAAAAGGTATTTTACATAATTTCACCATGTGTGATGGGAATAAATCGTCACTACGAATAGATTGGTTTGACGGCACATTGGTTGCAGCCAGCAGCAGCAATTCAAATGTTATCACAGCTTCAAATTTTGATGACGAAGACCAACCTCAGCAGCAAACTCAAGTAAAGCCTCAATATGTTGAGAAGAAGCCCATTGGCTTTAACCGGCTCCAACAAATATCTTTATTGAAAGGATTTGCTCTTACCTTAGAAGTGGCACATAGACCGGGCTTTTGGATGCTCTTAGATATGGAACTTAAAGGAGACTTCATAGTGTTAATAGTGGATGTTTTGACTAATATCTACAACTCTTTAGAGCCCTATGAGAAATCTAGAATCTCAACTCTATTAAAAACAAAATTTGAAAAGTCTATGTTTCTGAAGACATTAAATAACTATTTGACGAATTTGCCTTTTATTAGAGTAGTTGAAAAAAGAATGAACACTCACTTTTGGGATAACCCAGAGGTTTTCTACTCTAATGTTATTTTATTGTTTGAGACTATGGTGAATTATGACCAGAAAAATATTGAACTTTTAATTGAAATCAATGATTTGTTAAGTATTACAGAGTCAAGCATTGTTGGTGTTAAAGAAGAACATACAGAGAGATTTTCTGATGAGTTATTTGTCAGAATACACAAATTACAATGTAAACTTGGTAATTTAATCAACAAGGTCAGTATTTATTTAAATGTATTTTCAAAGTTAATTTTATTTTTCATCATGATTCATAATGAATTAAGTATAATCCAGTTCAAAGATCATTGAACTGAAATTGTATAATAATAATAATATAACAGTGAAATCAATGAAGCCAAACAATTTGTTAGAAATATTTATTGATTTATGAATACAGATATATTAACTTTGGTCCTTAAAATTATATATATTACACAATATATGTACATACTTACAATATCACTGCACAAAATCATAATTATTCCAGATTACTGATGATGATATTCCACAATCATTCAAGATCATCAACAAAGATCCGAACAGCTTCAGAAACCTTTCAATATTCCCAACCAGGGGAGACTTACTTGCAAATAATCAACTTTTAATTCAACCAAATATTGTTAATGGTGCTTACCCAAGTGTTGAAACTTACCTTGATTTACAATTTAAGTTGTTAAGAGAAGACTGCTTTGGAGCTCTAAGAGATGGGATATGTTAGTATCATTTTACTTTTAGTAGATATTAAGATAGACTTGATTGTTTTTCATAAAATAGTATTTTAAATTCTCCAGGTAGTTTTATTAACAATCCATCAAAGAGAAGATACGAAAATATTAGGTAATTGTATTATTTTGATTCTTTTTAGAAAATGTGTGTAAGATTTATAATTTGTTTGGTTCAATGCATTTATTATATACTACTTCAAGTGTTTTTTCATCAAATTATTCACACTTCTCCAACATAACTTTTCAGAGTACACCCAAAGGTCCGTGTAATACATACATTTGTGAGTAACAACAAAGTGGGTTACCTAGTCGACATCGCTTGGAAGCATCGTAATAATGATTCAGAGTTTGACACCAAAAAGTTTGCATACAACAAACAGCTGATGTTTGGTTCTTTACTATTATTTACAAATGACAACTTTGACACTATATTGTGTGCTACTGTATTGGATTCCAATTACAACTTACTTTCTGATGGATATGTAAGTATTTTATTAAAGATCCAAAGGATAACTAGACTCACTCTACTTTCAATGATTATTACCTATCTGCACACAATACTGCCTGGTTAATGAGAATAATAAATCTATTAAACAAATTATATATGTCAGCCTATTAATGTCCCCACTGCTAGGGCACAGGTCTTACCTAAGGATGGAATTGGGAGATTGGTCTGTGACCCACCATGCGGGCCCACTGCAGATTTGTGGGTGCTAGCAACGGCAGATGAAGCCGGGACTAACGGCCTAACATACCTTCTGAATTTCGATAGAGCTCGCGATGGTAAATTTTTGATCACCCATCCAATGACCAATCACTGCGAAAGTTGCTTTACTTCAATGATTGCAGACGAACGCGCTGACCACTTATGCCATTGAACTCCTCCTATTTACAAATAAATCTTTATAACTATGGTAAGCAGGGGGTGCTATAGAAGCATCCTATTCCATTTGCCATATTTGTGAGACCTGAATTCTATCACTTGCTTCTAGCTTAAATGATTTTATGTCATGAATCTTGTAATATAATATAAAATATTTATGCTGTGAGTTTATTTTCTAGATAGCAGTGTCATTTGAAAGCCCAGTGTCTAAGAAAATCTTCTTAGAACCTTACCTCATGGTGGAAAGTGAAGTGTTCTTTGAACCCTATCACAGGGTACTAAGAGTTCTGCAAACATTCAAAGAAAGTGACATGCCTATGCGCAAATATATTGTTGATGTTCAGGTATATTATTTAGTTTATCTGCAATTTTCACAATGATATTAAATACCCTAGATACACCACACCAAAATTTTGTTCTAATACTTACTATAAACTGATTTAATAGAATATATTTGTGATATTCAAATGCATGGTCGGTAATATAGCCGTCTCTTTTCCTCGCGGTCCGTTCCTGCTATTTTGCTACCAGCGCATTCAGAATTGCAGATAAAAAAATAAAGTCAATATTCTTCTGCATAAAGCAATAAATCGTAAAATTTTATGAGCTTGCATTTCGACCTGTCATAACGCTTTAACACATGCTTTTTAATTATGATCTTATACAGTATGCATTAACGGTGACTTTCAATGTTTAAATAATGCCTGATATTGTTTTTGACTACGCGATCATCTTACGGAGCTCCATGGATCGTCCAATGTACCTTTTGAACAGGTTTTGGCCACGGTTTTGTTTGTATTTTTGTATATAGGGTATTAAATATCGTTGAATTTTAATAATATTCTTGTTGTTTAGGCTCTTGAATAGCCCATTTACTTAGCTCTTTATTTCTAAACTAGAAAAAAAGGAAAATGGTCTGTTATTATTATTTTCAGAATGAGACACTCCCACCTTCATACTTAAATGTAGACACTATTTACAGCATTACACACACAAAAATTTCAGAAGAATTGCAATTCAATGTACTCAACCACGATAGTTGGCCAGAAAGCGAAATCTTTGAACTGGATGATTCACAGTTAGAGGCCTTCAAATTGGCCCTCACCAGGGAATTCGCTGTAATACAAGGCCCGCCAGGGACAGGCAAAACGTTCATAGGGGTCAAAATCGCGTCAATGCTATTGAAAAATTTGTCCTTGGAAGGAACGCCAATGTTAATAATCTGCTACACAAATCACGCCCTTGATCAATTTCTAGAAGGTATACATAGTGTAACACAAAACATAGTCCGCCTGGGTAGCCAAAGTAAAAGCAAACTTTTGGAGGGATACACTCTTAATAATCTCAGAAGTAAAGTTAAATCAAAGTATTCGCATTTGTATGGCAAGAAAAGATCTGAATTAGAGAAATTATTTAAAGGAATGACTGAATTGCAAACTGAAATTGAGAAATGTGAAAAGGAGATTTTAACATACAAAACAATTAAAGCTAATCTTGAAATTGGTGGTAAGTTATATGAACTTAAGAATTATGATGAAGATCCTGTCTTGAGTTGGCTTTTTGATGATGTTGAACATGGTAAAGAAACTATGATAGATGATTCAGACGATTGGGAAAAGCAATTTGATGAAGTTAGTGTAGAAGATAACAAAATTGAAACATGTTTCTCTGCGAAATGGGCATTAAAAGAAATCGATTCGATGATGAACAGTATAAAGTATGTGAAAGATGTAACTGATGACCTTCTGGAAGGACAAAAGATGATTGATAAGTTTGATACTGCAATAAGAAAAATCCGGAAGAGAATCAGTTGTTTTAAGGTAAATAAATACTTTACTTGATGAGTATTATTTTTGACGCCGCAAATCCAGTTTCATATTCTTAATTTTAGGAACACGTTTCTTTGGGCCTAACTGAAATAACAGAAAATTCAATATCAAATGTTTCCAACCTATACAGTTTAACAAAGGAACAGAGATGGAAATTATACTATAAATGTATTGGACCAATCAAGAAGGAGCTTATGGTTAAAATGAATGAGTTATTGGTAAGAGTACAATAATCTTTACTATATTAAGAGGAAAATCTTGTTTAAATGAAACAAATAAACTCAAACACCTGAACTGAACTTCGAAAATTCTTCTACCATTATAAAGCTACATTATTTGTGACTCGTGACGTGAGTGACATAGGCTTTATTTTATCGTATTAAAATTAATTAAATTAAATTGACGACCTCCGTGGCCGAGTGGTTCGTACGCCGGGTTTCAGGGTGTCGACGACTCAAGAGGTCCCGGGTTCGAGTCCCGGTAGGGGCAGATGTTTGTGTGATGAATACGAGCATTTGTACTCCAGTCATGGATGTTTAATATGTATATCTATATAAATATACTTATATATGTACAGTATATGTAATCTGTCCGTTACCCTAGCATCCTATAACACAAGCCTTACAGTGCTTACTTACCTTACAGGGCTAGGCTAATTGGTATGAGTGTTTTAAATATTTATTTATTTATTTAATTTCCCCGTTCTAAGCCAGTGTGCGTCTCTAGTGTATTTTTAAAGTGACCTGCTATAGTTAAATGGCTTATTAAAAAAATAATGTATTATGAATTCTGTCTCACTTTTTTAGCTGAGTATTTGCATAAGAAATTTTAAATCAATATTTATTTTACAAAGCACAGTTATTATATTTTGTAACTAAAATGTCCTTTATCCTAAGACCGATCTGGTGTGTGCAAAGTCGTAAGTAGTGATCAGTGGAAGACATTAATTTTGACAAACGTCCCACGTCACTAACAGGTTAAGAACCACAGTTCTATACTATGTGAAATTATACTTTATTCAAATTTACTTATTGAAAGCTATTTTGAATAGTCCAGTATACGACGTCGAATTTGTGTCATACTATGTATATAGGAGATTATGAGTAATTGAAACACTGATTTCATTGAAATTGACTGTATTATATTCACTTCGTCACCAAGAAGGTATACGTCTGTTTCCTAGCACTGTCCGACACAAAGTGAGAGCTATAGGCGCTTAAACCACAGACACAGTCATAGACACAGAGCCTTAGACATGACCATAATGAATATTAGGCATAGGTACTATAAACTAATAATCAAGAGATGATTTTTTGTAAGTCATTAAAATCAACAATGTAAAGATTGTAACCTCATTTAGGATCAACACACCACTTGCAACAAGGAATTGGAGGAGGTATCGACTCTGGTGGACGGTGACGTCATGAGGACCGCCAGGGTCGTTGGTGTCACTACCACCACGGCTGCGAGGAGACACGACCTCATGAGGCGGTTGAACTCGCAAATAGGTAGGAATTATAACCTATTTCTGTAGTTAGCGCCTTCGGTCTCCAATCGTGGCAGGTAAGTAACTTTCGCAATGATAGGTGATTGGCTGGGTGACCAAAAACTTATTATCTCGAGCTGAATTTGTAGTCGTTAGAACCCACCGATCGGCACTGGGCCCGCGTGGTTAATCATGGCCCATTCTTCCTATGTCACCCATAGAGTAGGCAGTGGCAACATCAATGATGAATGAACGCTGATGACGATGGACCGTATTCAGGATCAACACGCCACTTGCAATAAGGGATAGGCTATTTGACAGTATGAAAAATAAAGTACCAATTGTTTTAATCAATATTTAATAATGAATATTAGCAGCGATTTTTGCGAGAAATCATTAAATAGAAATGAGTTATCTGGGATTGGCGAAACCAAAAATGAAATCACATAAAGTAACTAGTAAATTTCCGATCAATTTGGCATTTTATTGTATCGTTTGACGTTTTAATGACAGTGGTGTGCGTGCGTCACATAGCAGTGACACGCCATAATGACCAGAGAAACGTTTTCGGTGCAACTTTTACGCTTGTTTAAAGACTTGAAGTACAGTGTGTGTATTATTGTGTGTTTAGTCAAGAATTATGTGGTGAATAAAGAACTGTCAAGCTCGAACTGGCTGGATATAATTTTGAACCCTATCCCGACACACAAAATAATGAAATAGTTACAATACAAGAGGTAAATAAAAATACCAAAACAAAGCAATATAAGATTTTTAATTGACATTTTGTTTCAGTGATAGTTGAAGAAGCGGCAGAAGTGTTAGAAGCGCATATTGTCGCATCTCTAACGCACCACTGTCAACATTTAATTTTAATAGGTAAGGAAATTCATTTTTTTTTATATAAAATTTTCTCTTACTGATGATTGGCCCGTTTAAGGCCTGATTTTTATTACTTTTAGAATCAATCAAGAAGAATTGCACCAAATTTGCTAAATCTCGGTTTACCTTCAACTAGATTTAGCCAATAAGTACAATAATGCCACATTGACGTAGTAGACCTTTATTTGATTTCCACAATAAAATAGCTTAAGGCCTTTGAGTCTTTCCCCATAAGTGCGTTATTATCGGTCGATAATATCGAATGCGTTATTTCGATATTTGCTTTAAGTAGATTATGTATGAGAACGGCTACGAAGTTACACACATCTGCGATAATAACTACGCAATAGAAGTACGCAATAACATATCCGATACTTACGCGCCTATGGGCAGGAGGCTTTAATCTTTGGTATCAGAGCCTCAGAGCAATATATTGATGTTGATTCTGACATGATTCTCTAAACCTAAACTTAAATTTGACAACAGCGTATCCTTGTCATTCTCTATGCAGAATGAAAAGGAGATACTGATGTTAAATTTAGTTTTAAGTTTAGAGTTTCACACCAGAATCGACACCATTCTGTAAGTAATGTGTATCCAAATTGTATTATAGTGTATTTATCATATTTTTTTAAAAACTTGTAGTAAATTAATTTTTTTAACGGGATTGTTACGATATACCTTGTTTTTAGTTTGGAATCCTGTGGTTCGTGTGTGTAAAAACCGCAATAATCAAAAGAATCTCGTGTCGCGATCCGATGCTGTGAATGTTGTGTGTCGAGAACAGTTTCGAGTGAACAGTGAGAATGTTGAACAGTGGTACGAGTATCGAACACAATAAAAGACTTCGTCGGAGGATAGACCGATATGTCTGCCAACAACAGCCTACCCGCAAATATGTTATAATTACTCCGTGATCATGGCGCTTGCAACAATGCCGAAAATATCGGAAACTCGTTATAGGCAAGGTACATGGTAACAATCCCGTAAATACATTAATTACTTAAATGTTAGTGACCAAAACAATTTTATAACCTACTAGCTGACCCAGCGATCTTCGTACCGTCATAAAAATAGGGTTTGATGGTAGAAGGGTGAAAATTTAGGGTGGACCTATGTATTTTTAAATGCCAAGCAATAAAAAAATGACCCAAAAAATTAAAAATAAATGTTAGGGGTGGACAACACTTAACACTTAGGGGTATGAGAAATAGATAGTGGCCGATTCTCAGACCTACTGAACATGCATATAAAATTTCATAAAAATCGGTTAAGCCGTTTCGGAGGAGTATGGTAACTAACATTGTGACACGAGAATTTTATATATAAGATTATATATTCTATGTATAGGTGATCATAAGCAGCTAAAACCTACTGCCGCCCACTATAAACTTGCCAAACAGTACAATTTAGAAATATCTCTCTTCGAGAGGATGATACGTAACGGTATCCACGCCAGAACTTTGACGACTCAACGTAGAATGCGGCCGAAGTTCGTAGAACTACTTGTCCCGGTGATTTATGATAAACTTGATAGTCACCCTACAGTGTACGAATACCATGATGTGAGAGGAATGGCGGACAATTTGTATTTTTGCACCCACGATGTTTTAGAGGACTCTGAGGTTAGTTTACCTATTGATTAATGAAAAATATGAGAACATGCCAAAAGTATTTTAAAAGTGTAAATCATCTTTTTTTTATAGAAGGGCCGACAAATGACTCCACCCCACCTGATGTTAAGTGACGGTGAAGTTCAGATGTCAAGATAGCTGGTACAGCAGTGGTACCTGCCACACCAGCCATCCTCGCCTTGCCCTCCTGCATGTTGCTTCTTCACGCCTCTTTTATTTTATCTTTATCTTACTATTGATACCGTTTTGTAAACTGTTAATGGTAGCATCAGTATATAGCATTTGCGTTAAATTGCGATTTTTTTTTGTGTTCAAAACCTTTCAACAAGATTATTTCGCTTTTTAGAACATTATAATAATATCCAATGGTCTTTTATCTTCGTAAAGTGCGATTCAAACTTTATGACGACTGTGAAGTTAGTTTCAGTTCAGCAGGCCAATCGCGCTATTTATTATTTTGAACGATCCGCCGAAAGTTCAATCATGGTTCAATCTTAGTACAATTCTAATTGCAACTCAATTTTATACGAAATTTTCACCTGTCAACAAGTTCACTGGATTACGGTCCAATCCTGATACGTTCACATCTCAACTGACTGTCAAAACTTTAGCGCGATACGAAATGTCATAAAAAGATGTGGTTCGTTTACAGTTCAATTATTTATTGGAAGCGCGTGAGCGATGATCTTTTGATTGTGAAAGAAGCATAGACGTATAAATGTCATGACAATATATCCTAGATTTATTTTATTGATTAAAGTATGGAGTTATGTTAGAACTCGTAGATCAAATGATGTTATGTATGATGTAAGCAATATAGTCCTGCGAGGTTTCTGGTATTTTAAAATTAACCCTGTAGTCGTTTGATGTTTAGCGCGATCGGCCTCCTGTGACATCGCACTCGCGCCTTCTCATCCTACATTTCGTTTACTGTGTCACGACTTGCATTATCTTCACAGCCGCCATTCACTTTGACTCGCATTCTACTTAATCCAACTATCATAAATGTGAAAGTTTGTATGTCTGTTACTCAATCACGTAAAAACCACTGAACGGATTTGGATGAAATTTGGTACGCTTATAGTTTATGACCTGAATTAAAACATAGAATACCTTTTGTCCTGGAAAAATATCAGGTTCCTGTAGGATTGTCGAAAAGCTAAAGTTAACGCGGTCGAAGACGGGAGCGGCCGCTAGTAAGTAACAAACAGTATTTTGAATTTAAAAAGTCTATATAAGGATATCAACTATAGCAGACTAACTCACTAAAATGGTTCTCTCTCTCTCTTTCTATCACGGTGCCATTTATCTCCTCATATGTTTATGTTCAGAATATGTTCGACGACCTCCGTGGCCGAGTGGTTTGTACGCCGGGTTTATGGTGTCGCCGATTCGAGAGGTCCCGGGTTCAAATCCCGGTGAGGGCAGATGTTTGTGTAATGAATACGAGCATTTGTACTCCAGTCATGGATGTTTAATATGTATGTAAATGAGGTTCATTACCCTTCATTCAATACAAACGGTAAAATAGTGAGTGACCATAGAAAAAGATATGGTTTTGACATCCGTCAATTAATAAATAAAATATAATATTTGTGCACGAAAAATTGTACGAAATAATAGCTATAAATGTTGTTTTATAATGAGGTTTTATAAACTTAATAGATTTAATTACGAAATAAAACAATTGTGTTGCTCAGAAATGAGAAACAACATTTATAGCTATTATTTCGTACAATTTTTCGTGCACAAATATTATATTTTATTTATTAATTGACGGATGTCAAAACCATATCTTTTTCTATGGTCACTCACTATTTTACCGTCTGTATTGAATGAAGGGTAATGAACCTCATTTACATGTATTTCTAAAAATATATTATATATATGTACAATATATGTATTCTATCCGTTACCCTAGTATCCCATAACACAAACCTTATAGTGCTTACTTTGGGGCTAGGCTAATTAGTGTGAGTGTTGGAAATATTTATTTATTTATGTTCTTCTCGTTATGAGGTAATCTGTTATATACATTGTTAAAGTAAGGGTCACTTGATGGAAAGCATTATATATTCTGTACATATTTTGTGAACTCCGTTACACCGTAATTTTTAAAGGAGGCCTATAATTGGCCTTTCTATATAACTAAACCTGTAGCAAATTTGAAATTAACACTGTTGGTTTCTTAAAAAATAAATAAATATAGATTTCGATAATTTTAAACTCATAATTTCAGGGCTTAGAAGACAGCTGGAGTCACAAAAATGTTCTAGAAGCGAGATGGTGTGTGGCTCTCGCTGATTATTTACGACGCATGGATTATAAAGCTGCTGAGATAACTATACTGTCCACGTACACGGGGCAAGTTGCACTTATCAAAGAGGTAAGATTTGATATCCATAGTAATATTAAATCTTAAAAAAAAAAACTAGAAAAAGAATCCACGCGGATTAGGCAGCAGACGGGTCTCGAAACGGGACCCCTTTCGCTATCCGGGCAAATACACTGACCATTATGCTTCCGCGGCCCTGATGGCAGTGCCGAATTATCTCTGGTATTTCTTAGGCTGCAAGGCAGCGCCATCTCTTCGCATTGTAGGTAACACAAATTTTTCTATAGATTTAAACATCAAGCATTGAAATCCTTTTTTTTTAACTAATATTATAAATGTGAAAGTGTGTCTATCTGTCTGTGTACTACCTTTTCACACTTAAACCGCTAAACCGATATAGATGAAATTTGGTATAGAGATAGTTTGAGTCTCGACATAGTATAAAAGCACAGATTATAGATAGATTGAGGAGCTCGAAGGCGCAGGTGGTAAGCGCGTTCGGCTATTAATGTCCTCACCGCTGGGGCACAGGCCTTCCCTATGGATGAAATGGGGAGATTGTGCCATGGCCCACCACGCGGGCCCAGTGCGGATTGGCGGGTGCTAACGACTGCAGATGCAGCCGGGACCAACGGCTTAACGTGCCTTCCGAAGCACGGAGGAAGTTGAGATAGAAGATTTTTGGTCACCCATCCAATGACCGACCACTGCGACACTTGCTTAACTTCAACGATCGCAGCCGAACGCGCTAACCAGCCACGCCATCGAGCTCCTCAATAGCCAAGTGCCAGGATTATATATTTGTCAAATAATTGCACATTACACAGAGGTACCGAGAGTAAAAACATAAATTCAGCACATTATACTGGATTGCGTGTTCCATAATAACGTGATAATAAAGTTAAAAATTGCCTAGATATTATTAAGGTCATTGAAATTTATGCTTCCTACGAAAAACCAGTACATAATATTATAACGAATGCATATTTGTGTGAAATATAACTTTAAAGCAAAGTCGTCTTTGTGTAGATTAGAATAAGTGTCAATTTTCTGTTTCTTGCATTTTTCTTAGCTAAGCAATAAAAACTTGAAGTTACGAGATGTGAAAATAACGGCCGTAGACAGTTACCAAGGGGAAGAGAATAGGATTATCATATTGTCTCTGGTGAGAAGCAACAGGGATCTCAAGATCGGCTTCTTGGCGGCCGCCAATAGAATCTGTGTGGCGCTATCGAGAGCTAAAGAAGGTAACTCATATCTAAAGGAAATTTTACTTAAAAAAAACACGTAGACCAGTTCCCGTCTGCTGCCTGGTCCGCGTCGAATTTTTATTAGTAAAATTTTCTTTATATATATATATATGTGTGTGTGTACAATATATATATATATGTATGTACATACATACCGAGTAACTGCGGGTTACTTTGACCTAAATGTGCACTTTATTTTCAAATAAAATTGTAGCTTCTCTTTGTGATGAATATGTCACGTTTATATCTTTCCATTGTAAACTTTAAAGTATAAGTTACAAAGTTATCATACGAAAATAGGAAAAAATAATATTTAAGGGTTAATATATATTTTTTTAATTTTGGGCCAAAGTTGGCCTTAAAGAGGATTACTTTAGCTCGTTGAGTTTTCTCTGTGAAAAAAACTCATTTTAAGCCATGTTGGGGTTAAGTAACCCTTATAACAGATCACCATTAGCATAGTGAATACACAAATATATGTTTTTGCCCAAAAATAATTAAGTTAAATAAAAAATATAACTTTAAATTTAGAAAAAATAGTAAACTTACCGAAAACCACAGTTTTGAGAAAGTTTGCGCATGAAAAGTTACAAAAAATCCCGCGTTACATTGACAACTTGATACAGGAACGATGTCGGTAAAACAACACAACACTACGCGCCTATATGGCTATCTGTGATTTTCAACTGGAATTATTACAGGCACCCAAGAGATACTGATGGGGCGGCAAGTTCAATATTTTTTCTGATTTGGGACAAAGTTACCCGCCCGAGCTAAAGTAACCCTCACTTACGGTATACATATTTCATTTACTAACTATAAGAGAAAGAGAGAAAGAAAATGTGCGCACGCACTGCTCGCTCTTGCTTATATCCCCCATAGTCCAGTCAATGAAGGCTAAAATCAGCTACAACCTCCGATTTCGTTGAACCTCCATCGATTTTCAAAAAAATTGGTGAGTAGATGGGGGATACCTTAAGAAACAAAAGTGACATAGTACCAACTGGTGATTTTGCCCTGGGGGTAGATGCCACCTCTTCCCGGGGGGTGAAAAATTAAATAATTTAAATAATAAAATAACTCGAGAAATCGATAGAAAATAAATTCTAAGCAAAATTTGTTATATAAAGGTTTTGGAATAAATTAATACTTGCGGAGTTATTAAAGACCAAAGATTTTGATTTTTCGTGATAAAAATACATGATGTTAAAGCGGCTTTTATAAAAACTCAAAAACTTTTTATAAAATGTATTATCACCAAAATTAAAGCTAATTAAAAAAACAAACAAACCCCTACTTTAAAAAAACCTTCTAATATTAATTCAAAGTGAGCTATATTAAATTGTATGTATATTTTTTTCGGCGAGTACTTAAATCTAATATTCAAACCATAATAACGGCAAACCGATGCTTTTTATGACATATACTTCCTGAACACTTTTTAAGGTTCTTGGAAATACCTTTCTAATGAGCACTGTAAAAAGTTAACAGTATCAAAATTGAACAAGTTATGATAAAAATAAGATGACTCTTTCGGTTTTTTTGAAAATAACGCAAAATAAACCTTTACCATTTCCACAAAAATTATGGATGGTTAGGGATAACCATTAATTTGCTTTTTTTAGAATAAAAAAAGGTTTTTTTTATTCTAGCATAAGTGATGACCTCAAAATTTTTTCCCGGTTTAAAGCCCTTATTTTTTAAAAGATAATGCGTTAACCTTAAAAAATGTTCAGGAAGTATATGTCATAAAATGCATCGGTTTCCCGTTATTTAGGTTTGAATACTTAGAGTTAAGTTCTTGCCGAAAGAAATGTACATACAATAACCTATAGCTTTATTTAGAATGATTTTCAAAGTAGGGGTTTTCCTGGAATTGTTTTTACTTTTTATTAAAATAATTTTCACCCCCGAGAAGGGGTGGCATCTACCCCCAGAGCAAAAGCGCAAGTTGGCAATATGTCACTTTTGTTTCTTAAGGTATCCCCCACCTACTCACCAATTTTCATGAAAATCGATGGAGATTCAACGAAATTGGAAGTGAAAACCTTCATTGACTGGACCACTCAACTCCCGTTTGCCCCTCACACTTTTAACGTAATGCGTTCGCCAGCTTACTCCACAAGTCAAGAGTGCGTAAAGAAGTTTCACCTCAAAAATCTGTTTAACCTGTTAAAAAATGCATTATCTAGGTTTCTACATGTTTGGCAATATGAACGTCCTAAAGTCAGCCAGCAACATCTGGAGGTTGATCAACGATAAGCTCGTTGTGCAGAACGCTATCGGCAACAAGATGAAATTACGCTGTGAGAAGCATAGAGTGAACATTTTATATGTGAGTACTATCTTTCTTAAGAAAATTGCGCTAGAATAAATTCCATAGGACCAGGACCAGCAGACGGGACTCGAACCCACACCGTTCTCTATCCGGGCGAATGCACTGACAATTATGCTACCGCGGCCCTGGCGGCCGTGTCGAATTCTCTCTAGCATTTCTTAAGCTGTAAGGCAGCGCAGGTAGCAGTTATAAGCTTAAAAAATAAAAAATACTATCTTTCTTTATAGATTTCTGTCTCTGTGTAGGTATGTAATTGAACTCCTAAGCAGCTATTTTGATGAAATTCCAAGAGGGCGTACATTTCCTTTTTATGTTTTCAACGTTCCGCTGGTTTTTATATACTCGTAGTTCCCAGGAGTATTACCGTACTACTGCGACAAACAAATTTCGATTATACAATACCAACTCTATCAACAAGGATGTTTTACATTCCACGCGTCAGTTTCCAGAGTCGGTACTGCCTTTACTATTAAATTATAAATTACGCCAAGAATTACCGTGTATGTCAATATTTTTTGTGCATTTGGGCCAATTTGAGCAATCTCCTTTACGTTTACGTGTGTAATTTATTACCACATATTAAAAAAAATGTCCATAAAATAAAATAAAATGTTAGGGGTGGACAACCCTTATTACTTAGAAACTAGAAAAATAGATAGTAGCCGATTCTCAGACCTGCTATAAAATTTCATAACAATCGATCAATCCGTTTCGGAGGAGTACGGTAGTTACCATACATACATTGTGACACGAGAATTTTATATATAAGATTATATTGATCTCTGCGCTTCGGAAGGCACTATTATAATACCTATAATATCCAGATTGGGCCGTGACCCACCATGCGAGCCCAGTGCGGATTCGTGGGTGCTAACGACTGCAGATGCAGCCGGGACCAACGGCTTAACGTACCGTAAGAACGGAGGAGCTCGAGATAGTAAATTTTTTGCACCCATCCAATGACCCACCACTGCGAAAGTTGCTTAACTTCAACGATCGCAGCCGAACGCGCTAACTACATAAGTAATATCAGTAAATAATCAAAGGTAGTAAATATCATGAGCGCGTTGGTTACGTACTCTGTGTTAATATTGTTGATTCATCGCATAAAAATACAGTGACGATAGTACTTAAACGTCGACTTTTATAGTGTTTTAAATTGGTACGTGAATTCAAATGGGCCCGAACTCGCTTCGTCATCGTTAGTCTGCTGATCTGACGTCGATAGTTTTGCGAATTCTATAGTGACAGTATACATGTTACTTAATTTTCGACTTTGCCCTATAATACACAGTTATTTAAGTTGCGCTAGTAGGTATGTACTTACCTAAATTCATTTGGGCCCGAACTCGCTTCGTCATCGTTAGTCTGCTGATCTGACGTCGATAGTTTTGCGAATTCTATAGTGCTATACATGTTACTTAATTTTCGACTTTGCCCTATAATACAGTTATTTAAATTGCGCTAGTAGATACCTATTTACCTAAAGTTTTTCTACTTAAATCCTATGACCTTCAGAGCCTGTACTGCGCCAAAAATAAATACATAGACACCGATTATTATGTTAAATGTAGATAAATAAGAAAATTTCGTATCAAAATAGCGTGGTATGGCCACAGATATGGCTGATAGTGATGAGATAGGACACAGCACATTTCCGCTTGGAACGCCCGTGCGAGAAAGTAACCTCAATCTGGCCGACTGGCGTTCTATACCTACGAGTGAGATCTGCAAAGCTCCATGGGGTAGATGGTTTCAGGACTATAATTGTAAATAAACTGTTTTCAAACCAAAGCGAGGAATAAGCTTAGGCTCTTATTAATAGATGGCCGCTCTCATCTCTGAGAGATGATGGCATGCTGTTTAGTATGAAAACAGTATCGAAAACGATCTTGAGACCGTAGTCTTAGTTAAGAGCGATTTAATAATACTGGCCCTATGGCGCGACTACTCTTGGTCGCCAGCCTGAATAAGAGTGCCAATGGAATTGGGGTAAACGACTAAGTGTAGGTAAATGAACGGAGTAGAGTATGAGCCGAATACGGGATAACGACCAATTGTAATTGCGGCATAGGGCCAGTATTAATAAATCGCTCTTAACTCGGGCTACGATCTCAAGATCGTTTCCGATACTGTTACGCCGTGTTTTGTTTTCACTCAAAATGCCATTTTTCATTCAATGAACAGACAAAAAAAACGAACTTTATAATCAGAGCTTATTTTTCGTTTATTAGGGCTAAAAATACATAGAAACGGTTTAAAACCAGTCTTTATTATTTTATATCTTAAACAGTTTTTATAAGCTCAGGAGCAGTATGGCTAAAAAGGCAAATCGCAGTTCATTTGAAAACAATAAATTAATTTCCGAATTGATTATCTTGCGAGTGCCAATTATTATCACCAAACGCTAAATTATGAGCTCGAATCGAGAACGAGTAAACCCAGTGACCTACTACTTCGTTTGTGGTGATGAACCCGGATTCTGTATATTCTTCGGATAGTATAAGTATTGTTATCATCATCAGCTTATTAATGTCCCCACTGCTGGGGCACAGGCCTTCCCTATGGATGGAATAGGGAGATTAGGCCATGAACCACCACGCGGGCCCAAGTTTTGCGGATTGACGGGTGATAACGGCTGCAGATGCAACCGGGACCAACGGCTTAACATCCGAAACACGGAGGATAGAAGTTTTTGGTCAGCCATCCAATGACCGACCATTGCGAAAGTTGCTTAAAATCAACGATCGCAGCTGAACGCGCTAGCCACCTGCGTCATCGAGCTCCTCCCCTAAATGCTTTTTAATAAAACTGCAATATAGAATTTATTACCTTTTACAGATAAGCAGCCCGGATGAGTTCGATGCTTCATTAACGGGGTCATGTTTGAAAATATGCAAGGAGAAATGAGAGAACTACTGTGATTTAACTCAACCGTTGTTTATTCGTTTCAAATTTTAAATTGTTGACAATTTTATTAGTAAATTTTATAAAACGAAAAATTCTTTTGATTTTAAAAACGCAGCGTGCTTGAAGCAACATTTTGACTAGTGATTTTGATGTTATTGTTTTCTAATGATTATAAAAGTATGCATTTTACATCATTTAACCTTCTATCACAGGAAATATTGTAGTTCTTAACTAACCTCTCACCCTTAATAGCTACTACTAACTACAAGTAGGTACTATTAACAAGATGCATGTCAAACACACACACACAAAGATTTATCCAAAAATACAAGAAAATAATATATTTTACAAAATGCCTCTTAAAATATCTTTCAGTTAACACTATCAAAATCTTTCACTTCTTTCAAGACAAAAACATAGGTTAAAAGAGACATTTTGAGAAACAAATCTTAAAAGACCAGAGGGCCAAGCACGACTATTTGACAGCTTCGTGAAGTATTATTATTATTTTAGATGTTTAGGGTTATGCAGTCCTAATGGAACTGTAGTCACTGCAACCTGGAAGATCTATTGTGACTTGCCACCAAGTTAAAGTATCTCTTTGAGCCCAACAGCTTCCAAGCAGCTCAAAATGTTTCTCCGTAAAATATTGTTTTCGTCAAATTTTGTATAGAAAAAGCTAGTTTGTTGCATAAAAACCTTGATGATTGGGAGTGATTGGGCCTCTGTGTTAAATATAAATAATAACTCGACCGCACGTTGCGTTTTCGAGACATTTGGAGTACATCGCCAAACTGATTCGCGGAAATGGAAAGAAAACTTATAGTAATTATGTTGTCCTGACATTGGTTGGCTGACCCTTGGAAGCAACTTTCGAGGCTAAAAAACGTTAATAGCTCTGTACGCATGTCTCAATGGGTGTGAATTAACATATATATGAATAACACATCGCTTTAAGACAACTAAAGACGTTCGTTCAGGCGGTTGTGACAGAGCGGGAAGCCTCTCTCGGGTCAAAGTAAGACCTATTCCAGACGGATGTAATCCAGCATACCAACCAAGGTGACCTTGCCCGTTGCCATCCATCTAGACGAAGGATGTAATCCAAATTTTCATTTGACCTTCAACGTCCTTGGATTACGGTCGCGTTTCCATCCGCGGTTGAAGCGCGTGGATTACAACCGTTTGGTCGACGGATTACATCCAACCAAAGACAGTTAGGCACTTTGCAGACGACGGGGCGGGGCGGGCCGGTCAATTTCGCCGCGAATAATAGCACAAAGTGAATCCTATACTTCAAACGCACACAGAGGGCAACAAAGACCGCGCCGCAGGTGCCCGGCGGGCAGTGGCGGCGCGGCATGTCCGCGGCTGCCCGCCGTGGATCATACAAACCAGTTTATATGCAGTAACGCAGACGGCGGCGCGGGGCGGTCAGCTCAGTCCGCGCCACGCGCTTATTAGTGATGGACTATTCACTAGAACGAACGTTCTAAACTGACCGCCTCTGCCCGTAGTGTGCTTTGTGTATGCGGCGCGGGCAGCCGCAGACATCGACGGGCAGACGCGGTCTTTATTGCTTCGCGGACAAAATGCCCGCCCCGCCCCGTCGTCTGCTCTGCTCAACGCCTTACGCTGTGGCAGTCGGCGGATGCGCACGTATGCGTGCACGTATTCTTAGGAAGTTATGAATATCATTAAAGTCCAATAACTCCATTAAGTTTGAATGAATTAAAATGGCTGAGAATCATTCGCTGTTGTAACCAACGCTTCACCCACATTCTCTTTTTTGTTTTTTTCGTCGTTGATTGCACACAAAACTGTTAAGGCAAAGCCCACAAATCGAAATTTAGACAAATTTGGAGGCCTTTCTTCAACACGGTTACTAATACAGTCCGCGCATGATAGAAGTGCATACGTATTCCAGAAGACGGCTCGCGATTGCGTGTTGGCGCGTGGATTATATCCGTGTAGCCGAAAATCATAACGCGGATGGAAACCCACTTCCCACCAAGGTCACCTTGGTTGGGACGCTGGATTATATCAGTCTAGAATATGCTTAAGTCGCTTCAATGATGCGCAAGGAACAAAACGTGAATCTTTGTTGATTCCGCAGTAAGATAGCTACATTTATACGTACATTATTCAGTAATAATCCTAGTGACAATAATAATTTCAGACAACACAAGAATTATATTAACTAAGCAAAGCTTGTTGTATGGAAACCAAATAACTTTTCTATATTATATACCTAATAACGACAATTAAAAAAATCGTTGTATATTAACACATAAGTATTTAAACATCCATGACTCAAGACCGAATATATGTGCACATCGCACAAATAGATGCTCCTACCAGGATTCGAAACCAGGACCTATCGCTACTGTTATGGTCCGAGCAAGTAAAATTCAACACCCCGTCTTACGAACTAGCCTCCGAGTTGTGAGTTTTGCAATCCACACGTTGATTTTCACTCGCTTTATGACTCTGTTACATTTGGTCGTTAGCCCGAATTCGGGTGCACAAAAGACATTACTTGAATTCGGGCACCCAAAGCAATATTTACACTGAAATACGGGCTGGAAGACGGTGTCGGGTTAAACAAAAGGAAATCTACCCGAATACGGGCATACTCGACTTCGTCGGTTTAAACTTCGTCGTTTACCCGAATTCCATTGGCACTCGCATTCGGGCTAACGAACAAGTATAATCGAGTCATTAGAATAAAACTATCGAGTAATACCGTTTGTGAATATAACTTTATTTATAAGAGTAAAAATCAAAGCGTGGACTGCAAAACTCATAACTCGAAGTCTAGTTTGTAAGACAACAAAAACTAGACTTCGAGTTATGAGTTTTGCAGTCCACGCTTTGATTTTTACTCGCTTTACAGTAAAACTGTTAAGTGAATACCGTATGTGATCACGGACCATAAGAAGAGTGGTTGGTATAATGGTATATACAATGAACATTATTATGTGACAATATAACACGGAATAAACCGAAGCAAACTTATTCTTGATTCCCCATATTCAATACTACAAAACAACGCGTTATTATGCCAGCACTCGAACTACGATTATCAATCTTAATATTACATTAATAAAGGCGCTAACAAGGCCCACTATTCTCCTTTGCTTATTAATTATAACAGAGTGATTGAAACAAAAATAAAAATGGTACACAATGCCGACGTTACATACATCCCGGCACACTTCTTGAACAACGATCATAGACAAGCAGTAGCAATTTTACATACAAAAACGTACAGGTACTGCGCAAGTTAATTTCTGTGTGGTTTTGCTAAAGAAGTTTGCCGCGATCCATAAAATAGACTTGATAAGCGACTTTATCACGTTGAGTGTAAAAAACCCGTAGATGGTTTCCTAGTTTTAGTAATTAGTTCTTTGCGATTACCTCTCTTCTTCTCGTGTCTTCATTAAATCTGAACTACTCGGCTTCGTTCGAACGATCGCTTTTTAAAAGCACTGTAATCAAACCAAGCCGTAGTAGCACCGTTGTATTTTAAGCGCTGAACGCTGGGCGTAAGGAAGAAAATTGAAGTCCGAAACCCTCTGGTTGCAATTTAACTTAACTTTTTAGTTCAGTACAGACCTATTAGCAAGTAAAATTATTGTATTTGGGAATGAAACCCAAAATAATCCATACCTACTTATTTATCAAATACTATATGTTACAGCCGGTGTGCAATCAGTAAGTATTAAATTGTTAAATTTATCACGTCAAATTTCCAATGATAATAGGTAATCGGCGTTTATCTGATAAAAAATCAAATAATAGTCGATATCCGCAACTATAATCTGGCCAATTCATTACGATTGATAATATTTTTCATTCATAATTGTATCTACTTCATATCGAATTATCGATCTTCGTCTATAGCTTCATCATCATCATCATCATCATCAGCCTATTAATGTCCCCACTGCTGGGGCACAGGCCTTCCCTATGGATGGAATAGGGAGATTGGGCCATGACCCACCACGCGGGCCCAGTGCGGATTGGTAGGTGCTAACGACTGCAGATGCAGCCGGGACCAACGGCTTAACGTGCCTTCCGAAGCACGGAGGAGCTCATGTTATTAAATTTATGGTCACCCATCCAATGACCGACCACTGCGAAAGTTGCTTAACTTCAACGATCGCAGCCGAACGCGCTAACCACTTGCGTCTATAGCTTAGCGACGTATTTTAAATCTAACGCTCCACATATTTTTAACGGCCACATATTTTTTTTAAAACTGGCATATATTTTAAAAGCATTCGACTTAAAGAAATAACCAGAAAATTATAACTTTAGCCAACCAAGTTCAACCTGTTACTTTGTTTATTATGTCAATAATGTATATATAAGCTTTGTGTGACCTTACCTATAGATCTTTGTTCTGAAGACGATATTGATAACTAATTCTAACGGAAAACCATCACCAAGACACTAGCACTGCCGTGGCAGCAGTATTAAATCAAATTTATTAGTTAGTACAAGAATAGAATTAACTGAGCATTAATTTTTTCACTAATTTGATAACTAAAATAAACCTTTTTTTTTTTCAATAAATAATTGGTCAAGTTACTTTACACAAATAATACTCTTTGCCTGTCTTTCTATAGGACCATTTGCTGATTCTCCCTGTAGGTTTCGTGAAACGAATTTTCTAATTGCTTTTTCTAAATTAAATAAACAATAACTTAATAGAAAACATGTGAGAATTCCACCCACCCTATTGTTTTTGTTTAAGATTCATCTAAAACAGGTGAAATTGCCATAAAGTCATGAAAACATGAAATTGAATTCCACGAAATATTTTTGCCTAAATAAATAAAATATTGCGTTGCGCAAACTATCACTAACGAAGACAAAATTAGCTTCAATCACATGATTTACGATATATCACAAAGCCCTGTCTGCTAAGTGAAGTCAATATTCTTCTAAAAAGTCTTCTATGAGTTGGGCTATGTTTTCTGGGGCATCCAATTGTACGTGATGAGTTCCTTCAACTTCTATATATTGAACATCAGCCTTCTCCTTCATCTTCTGAATAACATCCAAATAGTAATCAAGCCTTTCCCATTTCTGTCCCGGTATCGCTCTTAAATTGAGTACTTTGCATCTAATTTTGCTTGCATGTTCTAATGCGGCATCAATGGACATCATTCCTAAGCCTGAAACCTTCAGTCTTGGGTCTCTTTTGAAATAATAGCCTTTTTTCTTTGTATGTGCAGGTGCTGGTGCCATTCCCCTTCTCATTAGCACTTTACAATTCTCCCTGGACACTGAACCTTTGTATGCATCACATACAATATCGATCATTTCATCATAGTCGTAACAAGGTATCTTATCCTCTGGTAAGTCTTCATATTCCAAAACTTTTTCTATTGATTTGCCCAAATTCTTGGCTGTCACTGAGGGTTCTCTGACGGCAGGACTGGCAATGTCGATACAAATTATTCTATCTACTTCATCGGGAAACGACGACGCATACATAAAACTAAGGGCGCCACCGAGCGAATGTCCCATTAAAGTCACTTTGGACCAATTAAAATGTTTTATGATCCGTCGGAGGAGGACAATGCCGTCCCAAAATATGTAATAGAGCATTCCTTTCGGGTAAGGGGAAGAGTAGCCGTGGCCGGGCAGATCGAGGCAGAGCACCGATGTTGTTACGGGCAGTAATGGGACGAGATTGTCCCATGTTCCAGCGTTGTCCTGCCAGCCGTGTAATGCGATCATTGGCTGCTTGTTACGTGGTCCCCACCAACGGCCGGCGACATGCCCCCATGGTACTGGTATCTCAATTTCATCTACGATGACACCAGCTGGTAAATCTGGAAAAAGAGTAAATATATTAGTTAAGTACATAATATTTACTAATAAACTAGTAACTAATTAAATATATCCACAGTGGAAAGGAAAAACAAATGAAGCGCCATTAAGTCAATAGTTCAGCAGAGCTGTTTAAATTTAAATATATGTGATTAAAACTTTATTTTTTTATTGTTTTTATTTATTGAGCAGATAATTTTTGTGCTCTATATTTTGTATTTAATTTAAATGAATTTAGGTCAATAGTTTAAGGACAAAGTGGCTTTCATTTAAATGATAGTTTGAGTAAGCAGGTCCACCAACAAAAAAAACTTAAAAGGATCAATTAATAAGTTCACAGTATATCCATAAATATTCGCAAATACCAAATGAAATTAAAAACATAGAAGTAAAAATACTTGCATCACTTCAATGACAAAAAAAATTTAGAAGAAACCACACTTATACTAACATGTACATTGCCCGTGATTTTTTTAGATATAGGTTAAATATATTATTAACCATATGCATGCATATTTTTAAAATAGGGACTATTTTGATCATCAACAATATTATCTTGGAAATATAATGTATAAAAGGAACTGTTACTGTCAATCAATTTATTTTAGTATTATTAAGAATTGACAAAACTTTCCTGCGATAATCTCCACATTGAATGATCCTATGTAGTTTATGTGCCTTCGTGCATTTACACCATTTATTTATTTATTAGTCATCATTATTGTCCATCTACTTTTAACTTATTTGATAGCTCAATTTTAATTTTTTAATTGTAAATATAGAACAGATGTTAATCAGAGAAATCTTATTGAATATTAAATTTTATTATTAAAGGTTATTATATATTAGTACTTTTATTCAATCAGGGTTGCACTAGATAAATATCAAGATAATTTCATATTGATAATTATCATTGATAATAATGTGTAATTAAGAAAGAATGCACAGAACCAGAACCAGGCATTAATATCAAAACATAAATACAGTTTCTATCTCAGATTACAAGAATATTATCCTGATGAATTTATAGGCCAAATCTTATAGATAACAATAAATTCTAAAAAGCAGATGATGATATGCAATAACAATATTGGTATGATTAAAAAATAAAAGACATTGATTACATAGATCTACAATACCAATTTTAATTTTATATTGGATTTATCATACTTATTTTTTTTACTAAAGACAATGAAAAGGCTATGTGACAGGTACATAAGCAGTGGAGCATTAATCAATGCCCCTCAACAAACACACCAGCATGCCTACATTGCCTATAGTTCAGGCAAATTTACTGATTTTAATGTCAGAAAACCATAGTTACATGGCTCATGCACTGTCTGATGTAAATAGAGAAATGCTACCTACTTTAATTTAAACTTAAAGATTATTGATTAATTAATTGTTGTAATGTTATTAAGATTCTAGTTTGTCTAGCAGTCAAATATTCACTTGGCATATTGGCATTAAGTTCAAAAACATGATTCTGCTGCAAATGTAAATAAAAAAATTGTAAAGGCTGAAGCTACTTTAAACCACCTATTCATAATCTTTTTAGAGAAAAAAGAGGCACTTCACTGCAGAACACAAAATCTGTCATTGTTCATTGAACTTTTGTTGTTATTGTCATGAATATGTAAATCTTACACATTTTTACATCAGTAGACTGTTGCATGACATTTACATTTACTAATGAACATAAAAAATTATGGTCACCTGTGATTTATTCATTGATTAACAAATATTAAAAAAAATATTATTTTAAAATATTATTAATCTTTTAATACAATCACATCCAATATTTGGTTTAGTTAACTTATTGAGCCTTATTTATATGTCCACATTTAACTAAAGAATCATCATCATTAGCTAATTGGAACCCCAACAGTGCCACAACTAACCACATAAGTCTTCCCGGTGCAAATTGGTAAGTTCTGCAGATGCTACTAGGACTGACAGATTAATGTGCCTTCTGATGAGACGAAGGGGCTCAAGGTAAAAATTTATTGGCCATTAAGGATTTTAACTCAACATATATGATTGCCAGCGGAGTGCTAATCACTTTTCCATCATGCCGCTAAATTTACTATGTGAATCAAATATTTTAAAATTATAAAGATTTTAATTAGTGCAAAAGATTTTTTTTTATTCTGAAATTCCCTATAATTGTAATAATTGTTTGGTGCATACTTTATGTACTCTGTTTATTCAGTTTAGGCTGTTACAAGCACTTGTGAATGACGAAAATCTACATCGGTTCCAAAATCTACGGCAGGAGACCTTGTACTGAGAAGAACCGCAAGAAACTCAGCAAGGGTTGTTTTTTTCTCCCTGTATTATATACAGTCATCAAATAAGTCAATTGGTTCTTTTAATTACTGGAACTATGTAAACCAGGTAACATTTAGGCATAACATTGTTCTTCTGTAGAATAGTTGATTTAAATAATTTGAAGGAACAATGCACATGAATAATGGATTTGCAGCAGTTTGTTTTGTCATTGTTAATTGTAAAAGAGTAAAGATATCACTTTTAGTTGCATCATACATTATCATTCTTTAATTATCATCTTTTTTTTGACAATTACTTGCAACAAAAAAGTATTTTTTAATTTATTTACTAATTTAGTATACATACAACAAAACAGATAAGAAGAACAGGAACAAGAAATTTGTACAAGGGCAAGAATATGGGAAAAATGTAAGTTGCATGAAACATTTCAAAGATATTTAGTACCTACAAAGAAAAAAAAATTGGTATCAATTTGTCATTACCTAACCCACTCAGCTCATATTGAAAGATTCTGTATTGACACTTAAAGGTGACCTATAAAGTTGTCAAGTGGACTAAAATATTGTTGCATAAAAGTTTCTTTATAATTACAAAATGGAATAACTTACATCTACAATGGTTGACTTTCAAGATACTTACTTTCTTCCTTTTGGTGTCCATTTAATATAGTTTGTGCCATGATCTTAAAATCACTTAATCACTATGTAAATTCACAAAAACCACAAAGTGAAAAAGAATAAAATTTAACACATTTCTTGGTATATCACGATTATCCATGTAACACACGACACGTATAGGTTGCACGACCGTGACGCGTGATTATGTAGAACGGTGATTAAAACACCTGCCAACGACACTGCGGTAGTAATAAGACTAGGTTTTTATTTTAATTCAAGAAAATGAAAAATTTAACTCATTGATTGGCCGCAGCCAGGCCGTCGTCACTTCTAACAAAATAAATTGGGTGTGCCTTTTGTGACAACTACCAGATAAAAAATACAATCCTGCTAAAACAAAAGTATTAAGTCTACATCGAGTTGAGTATCTCTGTTAGGATTTAGATTGTAGTCAGGTACTTCAAAACAATGATTTAAATCGTATGCCTTGATACCAAAAAACTGTGGGTATATTTTGCAATGACGTTATGATGACAGCCGTTTTGACATTCACTATTGAATAGTGAAGTGAATAGTCAATTTATTATCGAAGAAATAAATTTATATAATTAAATGCGTGTCAATTCTAGATATTATATTTATTTATTGGAGTTTACTCCTTAAGAATCGATTTGCATATATAAGGAGCCCGGTATGAGAAAAATGAGAGGAGTAAAATCTATCGATGAATGACCTCGTTACGTTTTTGGTGCGCATCCTATGTCGCGCAACTTGACAAACAAAGATGACGGATTGATTTAATATTTTTTTTAAAATCTGAACTGAATTTAGATATTGTTTCTGATAGAGCAATGGGGACAACGAGGTACAAGTACAAACATTGATGCGGTATTTTCAAGATTCGTGAACCACGTTTCTACGAACGTCCATGTGTCTTATTTTAGTTACCATAAACCACTTGTCACTGTAATTAATAATGCAGACAATGTTTATTTAATTAATATTTAAAAAAATGATAATAAAACTATAATAAATATATATATATATATATATTTATAGTTAAAACTATTAAAATGACCAGGTTAACACAAGACTAAAGATTATTATCAAAAATTAAAAATCACATTCCACTAACTTGCACAACTTTTACGATAAACTTGCCTTTTAAAATCTCCAGATTTTTGCAAATTTACTTTTTTCGTTATATAATGGAGTCGAATTCGTATATTGTACTTCTCAACTACTAGCCGAATCAAATTAATTTGATGTATGGCACCATTAACGTGGCTTGAGTTGAAATCGAAATATCTTTTAGAACCCTTCAAAGTTTCTATGTAAACTAAGCAGCGCCCCTGACACCAAGTATAAACTAGCTTTTTCCATACAAAATTTGACCATTACGATACTACGATACTTTACGAAGCTGTCAAAAACTCGTACTTGGGCCTCTGTTTCCAATTTCAATCAATTCATTTCAACAATTTTTACAAAAATTCTGATGTTTTCTACCCTTTTTGATGGAAATGGGTTGTGGAGTTGATAAGGAACAATGTTTGTATGGGACCCTTTTTTGTTAACCCCCATCTTCATGATCCTACTAGTGCCTGTACTATATGTAAGGCCACACAGGACTTGAATTTTTCAGAGGAATGGTATTACCACTTCTCTGCCCCCATGACACCCTATTTTTTAATGGAAAGGGGTTGTGATAACTGACTTTGTCCACCGCGAAACACCGTGATCTTGGTCTGCCTTACCCCTAAAGTGCTTAGCCCGTAATGCATGTCCTTACATACAAAATGTTTTACGAGGCGCACACTATTCTTTCATAATGGAAAAAACCTAACATTACTTTCGGAGTCTAAGTAATAATAGTTATTATTAGTTAATTTTTCGATGTACCTTACGGGTAATTTTATTGATGTTTTTATTTTTTCAACTTGACTGCAAAGAAAATGTTGCAAATACAATTTGCAAAAGCAAGGCTAGTCCCTTAGGAAAATGTAAGCACATCTACGCTTTATTAATTTCATTCTTATTTTTTTTTAGCAATTCCTCCTGAAAGCGTCAAATCCAAAACTAGCAATACCCAACAATGGGGTAAACCAATCTTATCATTAGTTAATATTCTTTGGAAAGGAATAAAATTTTGGGCTATTTGATTTATTTTCATTTTTTGGGGATATATTGGTACATCCAGAAATGGAACAATGAATTATGATTAGCTAGAATAAAAATTTTCACAAAACAAATTAATTTTGTTTACTTCTTATAAATAAATGACAACTATTAATAGAGTACAAGTTTTGGCCATACCTGTTTTTTAATTTTCCAGGTCGTTGTTTCCCCGAGTGACTTCTTAAGGACCCGCTGACCCACTCGGACGCACTGACCCACCAGACGAAAGGACCCCTCTACTCTTCCTTGACTGACCACTATGATAGAACTACCACCTACCACCCGTTACCAACTGGCATGAATTCATACTCCATTACCACATGGCTCTGTTTGCGAACTAATGGCGTAGTTATTTCACTTTCACAGCGCTACAAGGGCAGCACAGTCCAGACTATAATTTATTTTGTTTTTGTTTTGAATAAATAAAATAAATAAATCTATTCACAGCAAATCATCAGAAGGGAAAATCTAGATTTTTTTTTCGGTTTTAGATATAATTGTATTTTTTTCTACTGAGGGAATATGTAGTTGCTTGGCGTACTGTGTTGGGATATATTGCTGTTGGGTTCACCAGCAGCAATTTTACTTATTTCAATTTTACTAAATCTAGATTAATCCTATATAATTTCAAGTGGGTTTAATTTCCACTTGAAATTATATAAGATTTATCTAGATTAAGGTAGTTTTTTTTAGTTTTGACCTGTTTCCATGGTTGAACCTTGTTTTAGTGAAATCGAAATTTTAGCAATATTACTGCAAGTAGACCTTGCTCCCAAAGTACAAAATGTTTAAGATTTATGAGTACCTAACCACGAAGCATTATTTTTTTATCGATATCTGGTAAGGGACATCACTATTTTAACATTTCCTACTTATATTGGTAGTATGTTTTTCTTTCATTATGGTTGGTACAAAAGGCACACCTAATTCGGGACAGTATGGAATTGGTATGGAAGTTCAGTGATCTGTCGGTTGAATTTTGTTTTTTGGTCTATTTGTCCCTGTTTGGACGGGCAAAGGATTTTGAGTCCATACAACCCTGCCTGTAAATTTTTCTTCCTTAGTGTTTTGACTGTAGCTTTTACAAATCTGTATAACGGAATGTAGGTGTCGTTATTTTTTAAAAGTTTTCTCAAGTCACGCGGGATGGTTTCTTCGTCAAAAGTACTTCAAAGGTCTTGAAACAACATATTTACTTATCTGTACTTGAAATGAACCGCAGCATGATTTTCTATGTTGCAGAAATTTCAAACAGGTGAGCTGACCATCTTGAATCTATACATAAAAAGTCTGGCTAATGAATAATGAACCTCCTATTTTACAAAATTTTGAATATGGCAATATTAGAACTCACACTGTGACGTTGCGAATTCGTGAGTTATTGGATGGGTGGGTTTTGATACTTTTGTTTATTTTGGGTATTTTATTTCTTTTACTATTATCAGTTATTATTGTAAACATGGCTGTTGGTTTTTTTCAGAGAGTGTAGACAATATAGAAATTAAAGAAAATATTAACACACAATAAAATAGGTAGGTAGGCAATATTTACACAGTACAATAGGTACTTTAAAAAATAACGACTACATAAATGCAAAACCACAAAAAATAAATAATAATACATGTCGATCCTTTACCTACATATATTACGATTTGAGAAAAATCTAGTCTCTACAAACCCAAGTTCTATTAAAAGACAACTCAGATCTATTGACAAGCATGGCACCCCGCTTGTAAATGTTTTAATTTAGCTTTAATAGTACTTATATAGTTATACATATTTCAGAAATATTACGTAAAAAATATACCAGTATGAGAACCCTTTTTTAAAGTTGGTTATAATTATATTATCATTGATCTGTTAATTTATATTATCAAATGTGTTTGTCTCTAAAAAGGCGGTGTTTACAGCTACAGAATTTTTGCGCGCTCTTTTGGAGGGTCACGATTAATTAGACACTCTACCTTTTAAAGGGAAACAATTCCGTTATACACACAACGTAATCTCACAAATGGAATATTTTTACCCGTTTTTGCAACATTTTTCATCGAAGTTCCGCTCCTACTGGTCGTAACCTGATGTTATACTATAGCCTATAGCCTTCCTCGATAAATTCACTAATACTACTATACAAAAATATTTTTTCAAATCGGAACAGCTGTGCAATGGTGTATTGCATTCGGTACAACAGGTCCTAAACTACGCAACAATTTTTTTACTTAGAATTGAAGGTTTAAAATTATTATGAAGAAAGTCATTATGTATAATACAAGCCTTTGAACAAAAACTATAGTCTACACTACAGCTGCACACAAAAGCGAAGTGAGGGCGGGTCAGTAATTTTGAATAATTTTATAATGTTACAATTGTGAATACATTTGTCGGTAGGATAGCAGCGATACTGCTTTCTAGTCGACCATGGATTCAATAAATACCGGGCGCAATACCTACCTCGGTTTACCGGAAAATCTCCAAGGGGGTAATCACTGAGTAAGTAATCACTCCGTTATGGGGCAGTCACCAATGTGAATGCATTAGGGGCTTAGCGGAGCTGAGATGGCTCAGGTAATACACCACCCACATGCAAAGCCGGCACCATAAAAGACGTCGAGTTACGGAAACGTCCGTTGCACTGAAAAACTGAAATGCGCAATTGTTTTGAGATCACCATATAATTTTACCCTTATTTATGTCTTATGGCAGAACTACACTTATCTGTCGGTTGTGTTGTGATTGTGACGCGTCAGGGAGTTATCGGTTTCATACATTTAGTACGGTTAGAGTGAGAACGATGTCGACACATCGCGACACACAAGTATAGTTCCAATGATTGTGACGCATCAGAGCGTCACAATCACAACACAACAAAACACGACAACAGTATATTTTTGCCTTTACATTCTTCAAGCTCTGCTAAGTTTAAAAATAATTATGTGGTGTAAGTTCACCGTTTATTAAAAGAAATATTTTAGCTACTTATGTATTTATTATTTAGTTTTTTAAGTCCCACTTGCGATATAACAGTGGTAAGTAGGTACTTATATACCTTTGACATTATGATTTCACTACGTCGCGTCGTCTCACCATAACGTTGTGGCCGAGCCCATATTGTGATTAGGTATGAGTATGAATTATACCTTCAAAAACTCGCGTATAAGATGCGCTATGTTCTCGGGTGTTTCCAAATGCACGTGATGTGTCCCTTTTACTTCTTCGTATCGTACATCTGTATTCTCTTTCATCTTTTCAATAACATCTAAATAGTAATCTAGTCTTTCCCGTTTCAGACCAGGTATAGCTCTTATATTAAAAACTTTGCACCTGATCCTACTAGCATACACTAAAGCGGTACCTATGCCTATTGTTCCTACTCCAGACACTTTTAGTCTAGGATCCCTTCTGAAATAATATCCCCCTTTTTTCATGTCTGCGGGAGCGGAGGCCATTCCTCTTTTCATCATGACCATGCAATTTTTTCTAGAAAGAGAACCATTGTATGCATCGTATGCAATATCAATCATGAGATTATAGTCGTAACATGGTCGAATTTTTTCTTCTGACATATCTTCATACGCTAAAAGTTTTTCGATTGATGTGCCAGTATTCCTTGCTGTATCTTGAGGGTCTCTTACTGCTGGACTGGCAGTGTCAATGCATATAATTCTGTCAACCTCTTCAGGAAATGACGCCGCGTACATAAAACTGATGCCGCCACCGAGAGAATGTCCTATCAAAGTGACTTTATTCCAATTATAGTGTTTTATGATCCTTCGAAGAAAAAATATTCCATCCCAGTATGTGTTATAGATCATTCCTTTTGGGTAATAAGACGATAAACCGTGACCGGGCAGATCAAGACAAAGTACCGAAGTTGTAGCAGGTAGCAAAGGGATAAGATTATCCCATGTACCAGCATTGTCCTGCCAGCCATGTAAGGCGATTATAGGTTGCTTGTTACGAGGTCCCCACCAACGTGCGGCTACATGTCCCCAAGGAACTGGAATCTCAATATCATCGACGATGATACTATCTGGATACTGCCCTGAAAAGAAAATTACCAATTTATATTATACTATTTAATACTAGTGGGCGCGATAACCGCGTTAACTTTAGTTTTGCCGGGATAAAAAGTATCCTTTGTCTAAATCCAGTAGGCCTATTCGCTAACTGCTTTTGACAGATGGAAGTGATAATCACCGAGCTATTTAGTGATCCACTACTGCTTTTTCTTTAAACGCCCTTAGATACTTGTTCTGAAAAGCATCGATAGATTTGCAATTTTCTCTGCAGATACACACTGTAAATTTCAAAAAAGTTAGTGAATAGACCGGCTGGTCATAAACTATATGTGTACCAATTTCATCCGAATCCGTTTAGTGTTTTTTGCCTAAAAGAATAACAAAAACCCATACAAACTTTCGCATTGATAAATAGGTATTACGAAGGGTAAAAGTCCCCATTTTTCGTTATAACCTACTTGTTTTGTTTTCATACGTTAATATAATTAGTGGAATTCTCTAATTGACTCTCAGTTTAAATTACTTATAATTTAAAGATAAAAAAACACTTTTCGTGGTCGGTAAGTATTTTGTGATGGCTACCTAATTAAGTAATTTTACCGTAAACCTAATGGATGCCTGACGCAAACAATCGAAATATTTAGACAAAAAAGCAAACGTGAGTGTCGTGGTGTGGAACGTACACTCGGTTGGAACGAAGTTCAAAATAAATAGTACACAACTACAAAACATACAATACACAGAACACAGAAAGAGGTTAGAAGGGTGATGAGCGATCGCCAGTATGAAAACCGATGACGCCGGCTCGCCCCCACTACACTTCCAGCTAACAGATAATAAGTCAATCAAACGACGCGACATCAAGCAACCGAACGAATCAGCGCTCACAACACACAACAGCCGTGTCTGTGAGCGTTCATTCGTTCACACCGATTTTTCGCTAGAGGTGAGCACTGAGTCGATGAAATATTATCGATATTAAATATGCCAAGTGTGAGTTGGACTTGACTTGATAGTATGGTAATTTTTGTATCCTGTCAAAGTCAGTAAAAATACAGAAAAAACAGATAGTTATTTATTAACCTTGAAACAATATATATTTATTTAAAAGGTGACGCTTTGTTTCTTTTTGAAAGTTATTTTTCAATAAGAAATGTAGACGGATATCTATGTATTTGTCAATTACCACTTTCATTAAATCTGTTACGTGGTTAGAATATGGGAATTCACCGACTTGATGAAATGATATGTCATCAAATAATGAAGTGCCAATAAACTTTTTTAATATTTTTGGGACAAAAATTTGTTTTTGGACATTTTTCAAATTATCTGTATGTTGTCGTATTACAGTTTCTGCACTTTCGCATATTTTTATATAATAAATGCACTACCCAACACAAAAAGATTTTTTAAATCGCATCAGTAGTTCCTGATAAAAGCGCTTTCAACCAATTAAACAAACAAACTATTTAGCTTTATATTTATATTGTATATATATTTACAATCAGCTTTTATTTATTTATAAAAGTTACTTTAATTCCATTATTAGGTGCTAAAATTCCATCGATAAAATCTATCGACAATGTAAAGTGTACGACGCAAGACACCACTAAAGTTGTGGTAGTTTGTACCTACTGTGTGCAATGACCTTGTACTGCATGCGGCCACGTGCAGCGCTTTGTAGTCCATGCGTCATTCTTGCTCGAACCTTACTACATTACGTGTTTTGAACGTCGTCGAAAGAATGACGAGCGTACTTTGTCAGCAATGAATATTTTTATGAAAATATATATGTGATTTATCGTATAATTAGTATTTCACGAATTTTTACTAAAATATCAGTCTAACTAAGAAGTTTTATACATACCGATGAAAAGAAATTCCTGCTTTAGGTAGATTTGATGTTTGACTCTTTGCTTTGCAAATAATTACAGCACACGAAGGCATATTTTAAGCGATAATCACAATACTCTCTCACTGAACGTGCGCGAGCAACTAAACGACGCGATCGCGCGTAACGGTTAGGTTATGAGCATTTGCTCATAACTGGGACGCGCCTGCCCCGCCCACAAGGCCATTCTAACCTCTTTCTCTGTTCTGTGATATAATAGGTACGCTACGAAACAGCAGTGCCTATCTTTTAAAATTTTCATGCGCAGATTTATATCGGAACCGCGCATGTCCTTAACGTATTCGCGCGGGTCCTTATCGGATTCGCGCGGGCCCTCATCGGATTCGTGTGGGAAAATTTCACAGAATAGAACTGCACGGATTTTTTCGGTCCTGACGGATTTTTTTACACTTTTTCGCCTTGCTTCAATCCGCCAAGTGCGATAAGCAACTTCGTTTCAAAAATAAACTATATATTATTATAAATACAGTAGGCAGCTCACATTTGTTTTATACTTTAATACAGAATTCTGTAGTTACATGCTCAAAGAATAGATTACACTCAATTCATTATTAAATATAGAATGCAAACTGAATGAACAACTTAAGAGAAGCTCGATAGAGCAGGGCTTAGCGCACTAAGCCTGCGATCTTGAAAGTTAAGCAACTTTCGCAATGCTCGGTCGTTGGATGGGCGACCAAAAACTTAGTTTCACGAGTTACTCCTCGGAAGACACGTTAAGCCGTTGGTTCCGGCTGCATCTGAAGTCGTTAGCACTCACCAATCTGCACTGGGCCTGCGTGATGGGTCACGTCACGGCCCAATCTCCTTATTCCATCCATATGGAAGTCCTGTGTCCCTGCAGTGGGGACATTAATAGGTGGAAGACGAACAACTGAAATTCCAAATTAAAATCGAATTCAATGACCTCTTCTGTTTAGAAGTTCATTTTATTCAAAGTTTCAAACCTTAGCATGCTCGGACCACTCCGTGGGTTGGAAACACGGAGCACTCCCACTAGAGTCCGCATACAAGGGCAAGCGCTTACGCCAAGCTTAAGTAGTATATTACCTATGCGTGAGGCACGCCTACAGACGTCGCGATACATCGTTTCATTCGGTAACCGAGCGTTGGTCGAACTGCTTCTCTCGTTTTCGTGTTAAAAAACTGTAAAAAATGCCGTACTGTGCAATTAAATTGTGTGGAAAGTCCAGTACAACTTCCAGTCTTCAAAAAAATGGTATTACTTTTCACTGGTTAGTTTAAATGCATTACAAAAAGACAAAAATACTGTTATATTAAATTGCTGTTAATGTATTTATTTTTTGGTGAACGCGTTGATGTCTTTTTACACTATCCCTTTCTCGCATGGACTACATCATATATGCTATCTCGCTCTCACACCGGCACGTGTATTGCTAATGACTCAGACGCAGCTCATGTCTCAACGCGTAAGTTTGTCGATAAGTTTGTCAGCTATGGAAATGGAAAAAATAAATAAAAACTATTTATTTCATCGTATACAATAATAGATGTCATAAGTATACAACCAACAGTTTTTATTTGATTGAAGTCAAACATATCCTAATAAAATTTTAAAAACGCGAAAATGTGTATGCATATTTGTTACTCTTTCACGCTAAAACGGTTAAACGGATTTGTATGAAATTAAGTGCGCATAGTTTATGACCTAGATAAAGACATAGAATTAACGATATTAAATACCCTAGATACACCACGACCGCTCAAAATGTGTCCCAATATCTAAATAGTCTGTGGTCCCAATCAAGAAGTGCTTGAACTCCACTCAAGCACTTCTTAGTACACAGTCACACGCGGACCGTTGAAAAGTCAAGATGCCAAAGAGTTCCGTGAAAAAATGCACAAAAATACTAATAGTACGTAAAGTGTCGTTTTTTCGACGGGTATCTAATTAATGTTTTTTAATTAACGCCTTTAAAGCAAATTTTATTGTTGTAATACTTACTATAAACTGATTTAATTAAAAATATTTGTGATATTCAAATGCATGGTCGGTTATACGTCGCCCTTAGCCATCTCTTTTCTTCGCGGTCTGTACCTGCTATATTGTTAACAGCGCATTCAGAATTACGCGTGAAAAGTAAAAAAAATAAGGTCTATATTCTTTCACATATAACACTAAATCGTAAAATTTTACGAACTTGACGCATGCATTTTAATTAAGACCTTATGCCGTATGCATTAAAGGTGACTTTCAATGTTTAAATAAGGCATTATATTGTTTTTGACCATGCGATCATCTTACGGACCTCCAATGTACCTTTTGGACACGTTTCGGCCACGATTTTGTTCGTGTTGTTGTATCTAGGGTAGTTAATATCGTTGCATTAATACTTCTTGTCCTGGACGTGTTTTTTTTTGTGTTGCTTACATATTAAATTATATGTAGTTACTAGTCGCGTCATGTAATTAGAACGCTGTAAGAAAGTGGAGAGGGTATGATTACGCATTTGCGCACCAAAGTACTAGGCCTCTATTCTAAATTGTTTATCGATAGAAAATATCGATATTTTCTAAAATCGATCTTACCCTCATCACTTCGCTGCACTGAGTATATGATCTGACCTTGACGCGTCCAATCACAGCGGGGCTGACCTCCCTGCACCCCACCGACTTTGGCGATTTTGATTCCAAACAAAATTTGTGTGATGCGGACTCTAGTGGGGGTGCTCCATGGTTGGAAAGAACGGATTTTTACGGTTTTCTTACCTTCTACTTTCTGGTGGCCATTCATTATTGTTTCTGCCATGCCACTTCCTAATCGAGTATTTATTTAAATGGTTAATCCAATAATTTTAAATAAAGTTCACTGCTTCAGTCTTGAAATTGGTATTCGATTTCGACATAGAAAAATCTTTATAGAGGCTGTCTTTAATAATATTATATAATATTGCTATTAAACAACATTTCTACTGAGCACGTGAGATTCGACTATACAAAAATACTAAGCTTTAGTACCTACCTTCGTGTTCTTCACATGCATGACATGACGTAGATAAGTGACGTGAAGACAGGGTTACCATATCTCAGGATTTGTCCTGAGATTTCAGGATTTTAAAAACTTTTCTCAGGATTGCGGCTGGATTTTGCAAATCTCCTGAAATCTCAGGATTATTTGATTTTTCAATAAAATACAGCTAACGTTTTAAAGATCTGTTTAATAAAAACTTAAACAAACTAAAAATAATCTTTCTTTGATAATTACACAGTTAAAATCAGTACCTATTTATCCAAGTAGGTACTTGATCAGTTTTATCATACTTAATAATTATGAGATGTGATATTATATGTCATGATACATTTTTAGTTAAGATTTTTTTATAATTATGGATTTATAAAATGCCCCACATGTTAAGCTCTTCAAATTATATTCAATTAAAAGTATAAGCAGCATGTATATAAACGATAATATTAAGACTTTTCTAAATTGTTAAATACCTTTTTGAGAAAATTCTCAAACTAAAAATCTCAGGATTTTTCAATGGAAATCAAGCTTTTTCTCCGGACTTTTGATTTTTTCATCTGGTAACCCTACGTGAAGACGTCTCCTATCCGGGAGTTGGGTCAAATGTCACACAAAACAAGGTCGTTTAACTAATAACTTTTACTAACTACGGTTCCCGCAGACTAGACGGCATATAATTTATACAAAATAAATGAAAAGTGTGTTTGTAGAAGTCATTATATTATTATTAATAAATGGTATGATAGTATTCAAAACTGTACATTGAACATTTTTTAAAAGAATACTAAGGGTGTGATCTACAATCGATACCGAAGCCAAAAATATAGTTTTTAGAATTTTTGTCTGTATGTCTGTATGTATGTCCGGGATGAACTCAAAAAGTACTGTATGGATTTACTTCAAATTAGGCACGAATATTATTAAGAAGTTAGGTGAACTTAAAGGCTACATATTATCACGCTATCACCTACGGGGAACGAGCAGTGAACCAATTACGTGCAAATAACTAACTCCATGCGTACGAAGTCGCGGGTAAGGTTGCAACGATATAGCGGAATATCGATAATATCGATAATATCGAGACCAAAATATGGATATTTATTTAAAATTCACTGATATCGATAATATCGATATCGGAAATTCCAAAATATCGATATTTCGTAGACTAACTTTGAACACAATAATATCAATTAATTTACCTGCTATGACTTTCTAATTTGAAAAATATCGAAATAACTATTGCTTTGAAATCGCAAGAGCTTATAGATGTATTAAAAAAATCTTGAACCCCAAGAAATATACTAAACTGGTGTGAATTCTGGCATGATTCTCTAAACCTAAAATCAAATTTGACAACAGTGTATCCTTGTCATTCTCTATACAGAATGAAAAGGAGAGACTGATGTTAAATTTAGTTTTAAATTAAGATAATCATGCCAGAATCGACACCAACGTATATAGGTATAATCGTATAACTAATGGTAACTCATGCACTTAAATAAAATCCTTGCCTTTCTTTCTAGATAATTGTCAACTACTGATTAATTGAAATTTAATATCATTATAATATAACACAAAATAAAATTAAGAATCTTATACAAATCGTAAATTTTTTAAGCTCGCCAAGTCAAGAAAGTAAGATAGGTATAGTAATTTTGGAAGCTTTGGGCTTACCCTATTCTGAAGCCTTGATGTGTAGGTTTTACTAATTCATAACAATTGTTTTTCATATGATTATCTATTCTGGTTTTGGTTGCGTGAAAATATTTTAAACAAAATAAATATCTTTGATCCGAAATTGCTTTTGATTTGATACTTCTTACAGCGCTATAAAAATATAGAAAATATCGTGTTGGAAATGTTGGAATGGCTGATATATCGGATCGGATATCGATATTTTCCTGCCCACATTATAAATATCGATATTTCAGAAACCTTTGCTTCCTTAATTTTAGGTTTTTGCTTTGCAAACTTAATACAAAGCAAAAAAAGAAAAAAATATCGATATATCGATAATATCGAGTTAAAATGGTCGATATATCGGATATCGACATTTTCCTGACTTCAATATAAATATCGATATTTCAAAAGATTTTGCATTCCTAGTCGCGGGCGGCCGCTAGTTAATTTATAAAATTGCTGGCATGTAGTACCAGGCTGGTACTACATGCGTCATATAAATATATAGGCGTATCATCCATACCGTCGATAGAAATAACATTTGATTCCCGGGAAAGGACATAGGAATAGGATAGTTTTTAAGCTAGTCATCAGCCTTTAAGAAGGTGTGAAGAGGGGTGGAAATTTGCATGGAAAACCAAACCAATATTTCCACGCATACGAAGTCGCGGCCACCCACTAGTTCATCATACAAACATTTAGGTCACCGGGATTCCAACCTAGGATGTTTGAGTAGGCGACACCTTGAACCTTGATAACCACAAAGGTCGTAATGAATTTAAAGTTCCAATGTCTTTTCTATTCTACCGCTTGGCAAGCTAGTACGGTAGGGTCTTTTGGATTATTGTAATAATAAATTTTATTCATTTATTTGTTTATAATCAGGCAACGTAGGCCTATAGATAAATACTTTATAGTGTATCTTAAATATACCATAAATATAATAATAAAAGTCTTTAACCCTTAACCGAGGGTAGCAGGAACCGCGCAATCTTTAAAATCGTAATGTAAGTAGTCATGACGTAATTTATTGTATATTAAGCGAGTGGAACGATCAAAAAGGAGGAGGTTCTCTATATTTGACACATATTTTTTCTTTGGGCAATCGACCAAAAAATTAGAAAGTTATAACGCGTCAAAGTTTGGGAGTAGGGGCTCGTGACGTCACTCTTAAGTGAAAATTGTACCAAAACGTGACGTCATGCGACTTTTCAAATCAATATATCTCTGCAATGTTTATATGATGTGAAAAAAGAAAAAGTACGTGTCCAATACTTTTTGATAATCTACCTGATAATTAGTGATCATCCCTATTCGACTGTGTATTTTATTGTTGGTATGCCAACCCAAGCAGTAAATGACAACTTAGATCTATCAATATGCATGAGACTGCATGGCACCGAAACCTAATGTTAAATAAAGAATATGCATTAGTTCTTACTTTTTTGTGTTTTGTTTTTATGAAGTCGGTTTTTATTTTTGTTACAAGAGTTTTTGCACTTGACGACTACTTTGACGAGTTATTATAAAAATATCTAAAGTACTATGAAAGCTATTTAATATTTAAAATACTCAGAATGCGTAACACCCGCATTCGAATCAATTCCAAATTCCAATGTGTAACGATAACTTTTATTGTTCGGCTAGGCTGTATGGACTTAGTAGACTTCGGCTTTCCCATAACGGGGAAAAAATCTAAATGTCACTTTGGCTATACGTCATTCATAACGTCACACATCTGTCAATCTCAGTCAGTCGTGTCATGTTTTTAGTCTTCAAAGGAAGCAAAACGAGATTTGGAACGAAATTGTAAGAGCAATAGTTACTGTAACAAGAAATAAAGTCTACATCTACAAAACTTGCCTACAATGGCCGAGAAGCGGAAAACTAAAAAGCGCAAAGAGGTAAGTGACATGATTATGAAAGTGCAGAGAACATACATTGTGAATTTACGTTTCGTGTGTTTTGTCGACGTTTCCATATTGCGGTTTTTCCCGTTGTGAAAACTATACATATTTGTGTGTTATTTTTTCCCGAATCCGGTGATGAAAGTTCATCCTCCTTTGGCTTAGCGTCAAACAAACAAAGAAAAGCGATGACGTAAATTTTTGTTTACTAGCTATAATAATGCGTGGTATTTCTATTGTGGCGTAGTTTTCGTATCCAGCTATGATGATGCGGCTGTTTTATTTAATAATATGTATTCCCTTAAGTGACACGTTGGATTTTCCATTTATCTATTACAGAAGGAAGTACTTGAAAAATAAGAAAAGCTCAAGAATTCCAATCCTTTGTTTGAAAGATTTTATACTATTTCCTAATTAAATAAATATGTATCTATTAGGTATTAGTAATTCATATTTTTTCATATTTTCTATTTTACTTTACAGTTTTATTGTTCATTATAAGCAGGTATGAGTGACTTGATCTCTCACTCTACCATACATTTTCAAAAGAATAAATGGACTGATTTGTTGAAATGAATTATAAAAATGATCCTGCTATGATCTTCTTGCATATTCAATATGTTTATAATGTTTTTATTTGGTTAAGATCAAATGATACAAATAATTGAATGAAACCTTTTTAAAATTTAATTTTAATAATTCAAATTCTACATTTACTCTTGAGATTTTAGAAGGGTTTCAATCTTTTTTTAGGCCAAAAAAAGTATATTTATTTTATGCAACGAAAATGTAGTATGCAGCATAAATAAAGAGTTCTTTTCAATTTTATTTTTTTATATGTACTTAAAACCATATTTTTCTTGCTCTTTGTATAAAAGAGTATTTTAGCATAATTTATTGGTGTCATAGATTATAAAGTACACCTACATACAAAATAGTACAATACTCTATTTAAAGTACTGGTCGCAACATAGCTTATTAAACTAGGTATAATAGAAAACATTTAGTTAACAAAATATATTATTAATGTCATTGCTTCATGCTGTTTATTAATTTTTATCCATTTTGTTTACAGCGCAAAAAGGTTTGATAGTGCCCAATCATTTGCACTATTTTTTTCTTTTTGCACACAAATATAAAATCTTTTTCCATTCATGTATAGATTAGCTGTTAATTTCAATATCTTTGTTGAATTTGTTTGAAAGATAACACTAACATTGCTGCTTGATTGCTGCATTTCTCATATTTTAAAGTCACACAATTATTTAAAGCTAAAGTAATTGCGTTTGCGTTTCTCACACAAAAGCATTTGTAGTACTATTGGGATCATAAGGTAACTATGTCTTTGGGATCACTGCCAACTAGATGTTGATTTAAATAAAATTCACTATATTTTTTTTTTACTTTGATTTGCTTAATTACTGTTCTTCAAAAGTAACATCAATATAGTATTGAAATTAGTGGGTCCTTGAAATTTTATCTGTTTGTAGAATACTATGATTTCTCATTCAACATTAAATGACATTTATCTCCTTTTACACCCCTCTTTTAATTTTATTTTCATAATAAAAACATATCCTATGTTCTCCAAGGTCATCTTCATATCCATATCAAAATTCATCAAAATCGGTTCATCTCTTTATAGTGAAAGCAGTAATAACAGATACAGATTGATTGAAAAGGGGGTCACAAAAAGCCCTTAAAGAGGGCTTGGTTACTTTTATAAAACCTTTAGCTGACTGAGTACATAAGTGCATCGCAATTTTTAGACAAGTTAGACATGTAATGTAAAGTAACATCTCGCTTCTGCGCCGTCGAGGCCCCAAGCGGTAGATCTTCGCTAGGTCTCTGGTGATAGATCTTTACTAGGTCTCTAGCAAAAGATTTTTGCTAAGTCTGGAAGAAAAAGAATTTTGCTAGGTCTCGGGCGATAGACCTTTGCTAGGTCTTGAGCGATAGATCTTTGCTAGGTCTTGAGCGATAGATCTTTGCTAGGTCTTTTTTGATAGATCTTAGATAGGTCTCGAGCCATAGACCTTTGCTAGGTCTTGAGCGATAGATCTTTGCTAGGTCTCGTACAATAAATCTTTGCTAGGTCTCCTACGATAAATCTTTGCTAGGTCTCGTACGATAAATCTTTGCTAGGTCTCCTATCATAAATATTTGCTAGGTTTTGAGCGATAGATCTTTGCTAGGTCTTGAGCGATAGATCTTTGCTAGGTCTTGAGCGATAAATCTTTGCTAGGTCATGAGCGATAGATCTTTGCTAGGTCTTGAGCGATAGATCTTTGCTAAGGTCTTGAGTGATAGATCTTTGCTAGGTCTCCTACGATAAACCTTTGCTAGGTTTTGAGCGATAGATCTTTGCTAGGTCTTGAGCGATAGATCTTTGCTAGGTCTTGAGCGATAGATCTTTGCTAGGTCTCGTACGATAAATCTTTGCTAGTTGTTTAGTATTAAACCTCACCATGTATCACCATGGGGTAGAAATGGTTAAAAATGCCAAAAATACATCACCTGATTAATGGACGGACGGTGATGAAAAGATTAATAGTGACATAGCTGAAGTTATTGTAGCGTAAAACCTTGCATTGCAAATCAAAATCAAACAAAATCTAAAAAAAACTATTTTAGACCACAATAAAATATCATTACTTCCACAACGCTACCGCGTACAACCGCAGCGGCTTCTGAGTCGCGCTAATGTTACGATTTTATAAAAAGTATATAAGCACTTGAAAAAATCGGCGGTTATACCGCATCATCCCGTTCTCAGGGGATGTCGCTTCTGCAAACGGCGGTTATCATTCGTATTAAAAATAATAATAAATACGAATTGATTTTGAGTTTGAGACGCAGTTTGACTTTGATTTAGGTATTTTAGTTGAGAAACATAGATTGTTATTAACTACTTGCTACCTTGCCGTTAACGACGACGTCGGTTCCTTGTTCTCAACATCAACCATCCCAACACGTAGGGTTCCGCACTAGCATTACATGTATTGTACAGTATAGATTATTGCACTATGTCAAACAGAAAGTATGGAAGGCCTATATTAAAATATGCTCTTAGTCACATTGATTCGTTCTATAAGTTGCGCCTGCGCAGGCGTCGCTGAACGGCCTACTTTCACTGATATCCGCTAACTAAAGTACCACAACTCGAGTAACTGTCATGTGAACTAGTGGTGTGTCTTGTTTTGCATTTAGTAAAAGTGTTAATAGAATAAGTTGAATTTAACCAATAAATAAATATTTTAAAACTGGAATAACTATGGGGAGAGATTTTGTGAGTACTAACTTACTTGTATTTTAATAATTCAATTGTGTTACTGGTTAGGTCGAATGAACAAAAATAATAGGTCTCTTTTCTCGAATTGTTGGAAACATCTGTGTCCTTGTTTTGTTCGTAGAGTAGTAGATTCGTAGAGTATAACAATTAATTACGAATTGACTTTAATTTACGAATTATTCCGTTGTGTGACGTGCTTTTCACGCTCTGCAACTAAAAGGCAATGCCCATAACTTTCACTTAATATAGAACCTACGTATTAGTTTTATTATATTTTATTCCACTTAGTCCAATTTAAAAATTAATATTTGTAAAGAGTATGATTTTTATATTTAGAAAGTTTGTCTCACCGATCACTCCAGGGAACTTTTACGTACCATCATTTTCTTTCTGTAGCGATGACTCTAGATTTATACTTGCAGAGTTAGTTAATGGATGTTAATAGCTGTTACCGCGGTTCAAAGTCAGGGCCAATGTTGGATTACGTAACGCGAACGATGGATGATCGCAGTTCGAGGTTACTTATTACATATGCGAATCGTGACTTCGGAGTTTGCTCGGTCGATGTTTTGGGCACATGTGTTCATTATTTATTAGGGTATGAAAGTTCGAATTTTGTAGTGCAGGAGTATTGTCTGGTTTTTAGTGGCCCTTTTCAGGGCGTTAGGTAGGGCCCTGCTTATTTCATCCGGTCACAGGGCTGGCTGAAATGAACAGGGAGGAGTGCCACATACCTTCTTCTCGCTTCCCCAATGGTTGAAGGATGCGTAAGGCATTTCCCAGACACAAAAAAACAGATGTTATACGCTGTCTTACCTTTGATTCTCTGCTAGCCCCGCAATCTCACAATCGCGAGCAATATGGCGTTGTAATAATAACCTATATAATTCTATGTATGTTGATAAATAAATCTTTTCTTTCGCTTGTGATCTGACTGAATGTCTGGCCCGCTATAAACGGTAATGAGCTGAAAATTACTAAACGGGGCGTAGCAAAAGTTTCGACACAAGCAACGAAACTATGTTCTGTATGATAGTTATAAACGTAAAACTTATATCTTGCAGCTTAATATGGATAATTTTTTGTCTAACCGCAGCCATCAGTTTACGATGATTAGAAAAAGAATAAAAAGTACATAAAATATTTTGTTTACTGTAAAACCAAGTATTACAATAATAATAATAACATCGTCAGGCGGTTTCTTCCTCTGCGGCCCTAACCATCGGTAAGTTGGTCCTAGCGCCGCTGCTGGTGGCCTTCTAGGTTAGGTTTTTATACTATATTTATTTTTGTATTTACGTTTTAGTAATTTACTTTTATATCTATTTTATAAAAAACCTAACTGTGAAACAAAATAAATGAGAGATAATAATAAAAAATGTTTATTTCAGGCACAATAACCCATATTTAAAATTAAAAATGCAATTTGTCCCATTTTTATCTTAAATTTAGATAGTTATATCACAACTCGTCAATTAAATAATCGGACAATCGTTATTAAATTTTAACAATAATTAATATAATATAATCATTACTGAATTTAAATAATTATTATAATTATTAGTTCCCCGATTGTTGCGTAGTTTTAAACCGCGTTTAATCAAGAAGGCCAGATTCAAGAAGAATTCTCAACAGTCCCTATTAGTCGACCTTATTGGACGATGGTACCAGTTGATGTGCCTGTGATTGGCCATCGACGGCCAACTTGAAGCAAACGAGTAGTCTTTAACGCCACTAATGTGATTCAACTTTTCTTTACTTTGTTTTTGACCTCCCTATTTTCTTGTATACCTACTTTTATCTTTACTATCCTTCTATGCTTCCTCTTTCAGACTTCTGCCCGTGCCCCTGGCTGTATCAAATAGCAGCCTCGAGCACGGACAGTATATTATTAAACATGTTGAAATTTGATTAAAAATAACATAATTAAAAAGACATATTGTAAATAATCGAATAAAAAAAAATTATGAAAAAAAAACCACTTTGGGCTTTTTTTAGGGTTCCGTACCTCAAAAGGAAAAAACGAAACCCTTATGGGATCACTTTGATATCCATCCGTCCGTCCGTCTGCCAAGACCGTTTTCCTCAGGAACGCGTGGAGGTATCAAACTGAAATTCATATCTAATACTCAGGTCTACTGTCCATTGGAGCTGTGAAAAAATCAAACTTCTAAGCCAAAGCAATTAAAAGATACAGCCGTTCATGCCGCAAATTTTCGAAACTCGCACGGGAATCAAAACTTACTGGGTACCTCCCGTGAACTGAGAATCTTGAAATTTGGTACGAAGTAACTTCTTATAGTACAGATAAAGGAAAAATTGCGAAAACCGTAAATTTTTAGTTACATCATATAATAAAAATATTTTAGAAAATTCATGTTTGTACGGAACCCTCGGTGCGCGAGTCCGACTCGCACTTTGTCGGTTTTTTCAATTGTCTATTTATTACTCCACGTTCGTGATGTTAAGCGTGAGTAAATTCCAGTTGTGAAGAAGTTGTGCTGTTGCGGCGAAGATATTTATGCAGCCTACATAATAAGCACACTACATAATATTGTTACCGGATTGCCTACTTAATTTTCTCAGACTGGCACTTCAAATCTCTCTGATAGTCATAGCTCTTCTACAAGCTATCACCAATTGTGGAGTTAAGGCAGCTTGAGAGCTGAAATCATTAACTGCAATAGTAGATAACACCATCATATGTAAATATACTGATATCAATGAGGTGTTTGTTGTCAAGTTCTTACCCAAAATCGTGCTTTGATAGGTAGCTTGTAAATATTCTACCCATTCATATATAATGTGTTCGGATAGAATGACAAACTACAAAATTTTATTTCATTTATATGTTCTTCTATATCTATACTATATATAAAACTCAAAGGTGACTGACTGACATAGTGATCTATCAACGCACAGCCCAAACCACTGGACGGATCGGCCTGAAATTTGGCATGCAGGTAGATGTTATGACGTAGGCATCCGCTAAGAAAGGAATTTGATCAATTCTACCCCCAAGGGGATAAAATAGGGAATGAAAGTTTGTATGAAACTTTGTCAATTTTAAACCGATCGGGCTGAGACTTTGCATGCAGGTATAACAAGAATCATAGATGAATGATAGAGATGAAAAACTGTAGTCTACACTTCAGCTCTACACCGAAGCGAAGCGAAGGCGGGCCGCTAGTTCTTTAAAGAACTATTATAATGTTAGTTTTCAATGTGGCTTCCTATATCTTATTCTGATATCGGGGCACGCGAAGAAAGGAAATGGCTATTTTTGGTGCAGAGAATTCGTCATCTATTTTTGGTATCTCACGCGTCGCTTTTAAATTTATTCTTTGACATTTCGAAGTTCAAGTAGTACAATTCAAAAAGGCGATCTTTTCGTGACTCTTGGGCGCTTACCTCTAAATCTCGTTTGTTTGTAGGTGTTAAAATGCCTTTATTACGTTGTAATAAGAGCTATTTAAAAGGATTATGGTCTTGGTTGTATTCTGATGAATGTTTTTTTTCTATTATACTATTTTAAATCCAATATAATGTAGATTTGATTATTTCATTATTACTAACAACATAAATTATTATTAACACTGAAAGTTGAAAATTAAATGAAGCACATATAGTTTATACTAATAACATGTTTATCTTTTAAGGGATTCTATACCTGTCGTTCACATATCTTCAGTAGATTGGTGATTGGGAAGGTATTAAAAATAAACAAATAACATTCATAATTTCTTTTCCTAGGAGTTTGGAGAACCCGCCGAGTCCGAGAAGCCGACGAGCGAAGAGTACTCGGTAGCGAAATGGCTGAAAGCAAACGTTCCCACAAAGAAGACAAAGTTCTTGAATCACCACGTGGAATATTTCACAGGTAAACGTTTTGAGAAGATCGATAGCGCATGTAGTTAGCACATTCGCCCTGCGATCGTGCAAGCCGAGTGAAAGTAAAGCAACTTTTGCAATGGTTGGTCATTGGATAGGTGAACAAAATCTTATTATCTTTTCCTTCGATCAAAAATTTTATAGATAACGGGTCAGTGCTTAAAATCTGTCTCGGTAAATACATATAATTATATTAATAGAAAATAAGATATCATAATAACGCCTCAGTTGAGGCGTGAGATTTTATTTTAAATTAGTTCGGTTAATACAAAACGAAGTAACTCGCTGGCCAGTGACTGGTAAAAATATTTTATTTTGTGGGTCATAAGTTTGATTTCACATTTTCCTTTTTTCACCTTTATCGTTTTTTTCCAAGTATAAGAATATAATTTATAAAAGGAACAAGATTTCGTTTTATAAAATAAAAGATCGTATGTGCGAAATAACATGTTGTTATTTGTTGTAGGAATAAAGGTTTATTCCTTTGTGAGGTAGTTATTATTAGGTTCAACTGAAAATGTTTTAAAACATTCAATTTTGTTCATTGGGAATCGAATGTAGCTGCATAGTTTAAACATACGCGGACACTAACTTACTTGTTACTTCTTGTGGGCGTTTCCGCACGTAGACTCCGTACTTGGTCCGTTGTGCGTGCAGGGTATGTTGGGCTGGCCAGCTCTGCCAGCCCAGCTCCTTCCAGAAGCGCAGTAGTCTCCTGGGGCTCGCACAGGCTTCTAGGAGCGTCCTCTTCTTCCTGAGGATTGATGCCCGGAGTTCTGCAACGCTCGTGCATTCCAGGATCACATGAGCGGCCGTTTCATCTGCTTCCAGACATCCTCTGCATAGAGAGCTATCTGTAACACGTATGGTTAGTAAATGTTTGTTAAGTAGGCAGTGCCCTATTATGGTGTCCAGCATTATTCGGAGATCACTTCGGTTAAGATTTAGTAGTTTTCTAGTTAGTATTGTAAACCGAAATCCTGGTTGAATATTTTTTTATCACGTTTTGAATTTATTATACCGTTTTCTATGTCTATTGTTTTTGTATGTCATCCCTGTCTATCTTGTCAGTGTGTTTATATTCATTAAATAAAGTGCTGTCTTCAAACTACTTTTTCTTTTATATAAAATTTAGTCTGGGGTTGAGGCTAGGAAAAATATCCTTAGATTGCCTGCAGCCCTCGCTATTGGCCCAACGGGTGTTGTGGCTCTGTATGGTTCGTTGCCGCACTCACGTACGAATTTGATTGAAGGGTAATGGTAGAAGTGGCTCAGGGCCTTCCACTCTCTGTGATGATCCCCTTCTAGCTAGTTCGTCGGCTGCGTCATTACCCACAGAACCGCTATGTCCCTTGATCCATTGGAGAGTAACCCTGTTATCCTTTGCTATGCACCCCAATGCTAGGTGAAATTCGTATACTAGCTTAGAAGTTTTGCTGTTACTATCTCTTAGGACAGCCATACTATCAGATAATATACGTATCTTGTAGTTCTTGACTTTCCTGTTAATAACAGCGGTGGTGGCCTGAGTAGTGGCTATGCATTTGCACTGGAATATTGAGCTGTGTTTGCCCAGTGTTGTTGATATATGGATGTTAAGGTTATTAGTTATTATTATTAAGGTCCAGTGAGAAGACTCCTGCGCCTGATCCGAATAATGGTATTTTGGATCCATCAGTGTATATGCGTAGTTCGTCTGTGCCCGACAAGTCCTTGTTGGTTTTTAGTAATTCTATTTGATATTTCCTGTCAAATGTAAGATTAGTCGGGATTTTGTCACAGCGGCCTGTTACAAGTGGTTGGGTTTTGTATAGCCCTTTCCAAAATTTTGGAGTGAGGTCCCTGGTTTCCCGTCCACAAGCCCAGATGATACATTCTTAGCGCTGCCATAGTTGCTTCCTGTTGTTTAAACAGATCGAGTGGCTTGACCTCCCTCAAGCGCTATTTCTAGGGCATTTGTGGGTGTGGATTTCATGCAGCCTGTTATAGCAGAGCATGCTGGACTTTGAAAACGCTGCAGTTTATTGATTGCGGTGTTGAGTTCGGTTCTAGGCAACCAAACTATTGCACCGTAGGTGATGAGTGGTCTGATTATGGTTGTGTAAAGCTATTTTGTGATATTTGGTGCAAGACCCCAGGTTTTACCAAGTAGTCTTTTGCATTGCCAAAATGTGATATAAGCTTTGTTTATCTTTTGGTCTAAGTGGCTGTTCCATGTTAGCTTATCGTCAAGAACTATGCCTAGATATTTGACCTCGTTTGACATAGACAGTTAAATATATTAAATAACTTGGGCAATTTCATACGCGGACAATTTTTAGCTTTGATTTTGTATGCAACCCGTTATCTATAGAATTGTTGATCGAAGATTTTTCTTGAAATCTATAAATGTAAGGCAAATCAAATCTAATCAATTGTTGAAAAGCTTCCGCCCTTTAAATATATTATTCCTTCGCACTTCATAAGCGATGTTTACAAAAGATATTTTTAATCATTCCCCATTGTTTACTGTTGCGAAATACACGGCATAATTAGTGTAACACGCGGGAGTATAACATAACTAATCTGTTATGTAGCAACCGGCCTTCTTTACGTACGGACTGACCGACTATTTTGTAGGTTATCGGGGGCAGAACTGGGCGTTAATAATTCTGAGATTACTGATAGTAATAATGTATGTAACTACATATGTATGATATTTAAAAGTCCCATAATACTGAGATAATTGACCTAGCAGTTGTTTAATAAAGCAATATTGATAACGTGGTTGGTTTCGGGACTTTTGTACGTTTCAGCTTTGATTTATCTCAAGGCTGCCAATGGAATCTGTGGAAAAAACGGTGACATGACGTCGGACGGTTTTAATAGTAGAACTGAATCAGGTGTGGAGTTCCCCCGGTCTTGATTCTTCCTTAAAGAGTAATTAGATGGGTCAGTTTTGATACATAGATGAAAGACCGAAAATAAAATGAAAAATTGACGTTCATCGGAATGTGTCTTCAATCATGCATCTGTTAGCATTCATCGGCAATGAACGATAAGTGAAACGTCTAAACAGCGACAGCTCATTCACAGTTTATTTCATTCACTGCCTCGGTATTTATTATTTAATTAAATAACTCGATACAGATGATGTTCACGCGGGAATTCCACAAGGAATGGAAAATAATATCGGAATATTATATAGGAATGGAATAGGTACATCAAAAGTGATGCGTCTATACCAAAAATGCTTCACTATTCATCATTCACAAATAATTGCAAAAAGAGTCTCTTTTGATTAACCGTCTAATTCCGCCTTTGCCGCACTGCACTGAACATTTATTTTATTTAAAATATATGGTGATCTTCGATCAACAATTCTATAGATAACTGGTCTGGTAAAATCCGTCTCATTAAACATAGCCTCACTCGAGGCGTGAGATCTTAGTTTAAATTAGTTCGGTTGATGTTGTAACTCGCTGGCCAATGACTGGTAAAAATATTTTATTTTGTGAGTCATAAGGTTGATTTCACATTTTCCCTTTTTTCACCTTTATCGCTTTTTTCCAAGTATCAGAATAATTTATAAAAGGAACAAGAGTTCGTTTTATAAGATTAAAGGTCGTATGTGCGAAATAACATTTTGTTATTTGCTACCTTATTCCTTTGTGAGATAGTTGTTATGAGGTTCAACTTAAACTGTTTTAAAACATTTATCTTTGTTCATTGGGAATCGAATGTAGCTGCATGAGTTTAAACATAGGCGGACAGATTTTTAGCTTTGATTTTGTATGCAACCCATTATCTATAGAATTGTTGATCGAAGGTGGCGATCAACCATTTTGCCCGCATGGTGTTAGCGGTTACCACCGTATAGCCTGTCTGTGTGGTGGTGAGACCGTGGACAACCGACCAAGAACGGTGGTGTGCGTGAAAACCTAAGAAACAATTTCATACCTGCTTACTGCTGCTTTTACAGGCCTCTTCGAAAAGAAATCTATAAGTTTATCAAGTCTAAATTGGTGTTCTTTCTGCAGGCACAAAAGCTGTGGACGCTCTATTGACATCCAAATGGGCGACCGGCAAGAATCCCATATTCAGTACGCGCCACGAGGTTACAGACTACCTGCACCAAATGCTGCTGCACAAATTGTTCCACAGAGCCAAAAAGGTGCACATTTATATTTGTACAATTTTACTTAGGGCGCGTTGTATCGTCAATAGTAAGATTTGACTATATTTAATTTCACGTCAAATATATAATAAACAAGTATTTTTTTTATATATTATAACTTTTATGGGAGAGTAAACCGCTTCGTTACGTAACGCGTTACGGTGCCAGTCTGTCTGGCTTCCCTTCCCCTCACGCTTACGGCAGCGGTAGGCAGACTCCTATCTCACTCTAACTCGCAGCGCCGCTTAGATTAGTTTAAGTTATATCGTGCGTCCCGAGACGCAAAATTTTACTATCGACTAAACAACGCAGCCTTAGTAGTGGTGGCTTACTGGCTGGTATTCGAAAAATTTAGTAATTGATTTAAAGATAAAAAAAACCACGCAGTCCAAGTAGGTATCATCATTTCAAATAATCCATAGACTATAACAACATACACGATTTGACGGATGAGTAGACCTTTCGTCTCAGTGCTGCCACTCGGCGTCATTCCAGAAAACACTCTCAATCAAGCAGATTCATGCTTAAAAATAAAAATATATTTTTAATTCTGTCTACTTGTATTATCATGAGTTCGTGTGTAAAATCTGACATTCCTCCACAATGAACAAAATGCATAGCAAATTTTTCCTTCACATATTATTGCTGGTGTGCTAATAAAATAAGTTAGAAGTACCCTTTTGCTTATCGTAATCTGATTCAAAAAACAAATCAAACCATAGTAAAAAAATTGGGACTTGACCTCTTAGAGTATGTGAAGGTTGTTTGACTGACTCATCATGCTCGTGGATGCATCCTGATTGCGAGCTGAGAATTCAAAATTATGAAACACTTACGTGATTGCCCAACTAACACTTAGGCGCTAAGACAAGAGTTATAGTAAATCTATTAAAGAGCTAACCAGATCCTAAAGTTATAAATAAGTGTTACCCATTAGAGTTAGAGCGCGCTATATCTCTACTGTACCCCCGAAATGGGCACACTTTTTTATCACCTTAGGTTGTTTAATTGCGGTAAATAAGAGTTACAGAATAGGTTAAGAGGTATAATAAAGCAATAAGAGAGCTATAATAGCGATAACTGAAACTACAAGGGATAAAAACGTGATAAATAGGCGACAATTCACTCCCTTAGTGGTACAATAGAATAAAATATCGTTTATTAACCCTTTGGGTGCTAAAAGGGCTGCAAATAGGTGAATACTAACTCCCTAAGTGGTATGGTAGAACTAAATTGTCGCTCACTATATTTTTAAGTGATAAGAGAGTGGCAAGTAGGTGATTATTACCGCTTTGAACTCTAATATAGACGCACAAAAGCTATAAAAAGGACTTCAGGTGCTAACCTTTTTAACTTCTAAGACTATTTTTTTATTTCGTCAACATAATTTAACCTCTCGTTTTTATGTGCGAACAGTGCGTATGTTAGTATTTGTCGCATCCAAAACGCCGCCATTCGTTTGTGAAAATGAAATTAAAAGTATAATCTTTTAAAGAAAATATAACTAGAAAAAATTCCACGCGGACCAGGCAGCAGACGGGACTCGATCCCGCACCCTTCGCAAATCCGGGCGAATGCACTGACCAATTATGCTACCGCGGCCCTCACGGACCGCGTCGAAATTCTTCTAGCCATTCTTAAGCTGCAAGGCAGCGCCATCTCTTCGCAATTCTCATTCGCAAACGCGGACCAGGCAGCAGACGGGACGTGGAATTTTTTCTAGTTATATTTTCTTTAGATTTAAACATCAAGCAGTTACATGCTTTAAAAATAATAAAATTTATAACTATAATTGCTATTTCTTCTTTCAAATGTTTAATACTTGTAAAAGTATTCATTTGACATTGTGGGTTACCTATAATGCGAAGAGATGGCGCTGCCTTGCAGCTTAAGAATGGCTAGAAGAATTTCGACGCGGTCCGTGAGGGCCGCGGTAGCATAATTGGTCAGTGCATTCGCCCGGATTGCGAAGGGTGCGGGTTCGAGTCCCGTCTGCTGCCTGGTCCGCGTGGAATTTTTTCTAGTTATATTTTCTTTAGATTTAAACATCAAGCAGTTACATGCTTTAAAAATAATAAAATTTATAACTATAATTGCTATTTCTTCTTTCAAATGTTTAATACTTGTAAAAGTATTCATTTGACATTGTGGGTTACCTATAATGCAAAGAGATGGCGCTGCCTTGCAGCTTAAGAATGGCTAGAAGAATTTCGACGCGGTCCGTGAGGGCCGCGGTAGCATAATTGGTCAGTGCATTCGCCCGGATTGCGAAGGGTGCGGGTTCGAGTCCCGTCTGCTGCCTGGTCCGCGTGGATTTTTTTCTAGTTATATTTTCTTTAGATTTAAACATCGAGCAGTTACATGCTTTAAAAATAATAAAATTTATAACTATAATCTTTTAGTTTCAACGTAGTGGACACAGAAGTTGACTTTTTACTGCGAAGGAAAGTACACTGTGAATAAGTATATGTATTATTAACAAATTATTCAAGCGCCCGATGTCTGTTGTCTATTTACTGAAAAGAAATATTTTATTAGATATGGAGTAACATAAAACTTTTGTAACAATCTAATAAAACGTTGCCTATTCTAGTTTAAGGTATTGTGCTAGTAGTGTTAGAACACAATGAAGCAAAATACTTCAATTAAACCGTGTTTTCTTATGTTTTTCTAACCTTTTTTTAGTTGCGTCGCCATTGCATTACTATCAACAACAAAGTAAACGAATGAGGGGTACAGAAGTGGTATTAAGCTCTATTACTCTACCTAAAGTTATACAGAAGTCACAATAACCACTAGAAGTTCTATCATAGCGAAGAATGTTTCTGCTGTTCGACTTTTAGTAACTTAAGAGCATTTTGTACCTCTTTAGGCATTTGGTGGTACAAAAGAATTTATGAGCACCATTGTGGAACTGGTAGTTGTAATTATTGCTTTTGTGCAACTTTTGGTTCTTGGCGAGAGTTTATTATCGCTTGCATAGCACTTTGGGGGGTTGTAGTCAATGCTCACTTCTTATTTAGATCTTATAGTTGTAAGATTCACTTAAAGCTATAACACAAGATGCTTTGCCCATATTGTAGAGTTAAAAAATGCTGCTGTATGTCTTTAACCTTTAAACTCACCCTGTTATCACCCTTGTAATTCTGTGGTATAGCTCTACGTGAAATATTTTGCTTGTTTACGCTCTTTAATCGCCAAAAGTTGTAAGTGCTGCTGCTGTAGCGCCTTTATTTCTCGGTCAGTTCTAAAACAAGCTCTAATTGACGCCTAAATGTTTATTGGGTGGTTATTACTACAACGCTTTAAGTTCTTAATCGTTAGAAGTTTTAAGAATTATAGCACAATTTTTGCTAGTTATCTAAATAACATTGACAAATTGAGAATACATCATGCATGCAAATGCTAAGATGCATCCTGATTGTGAGCTGAGAATTCAAAATTATGATAAACTTACGTGATTGGTTATTACTACAACGCTTTAAGTTCTTAATCGTTAGAAGTTTTTTGAATTATAGCAGAATTTACTACTTATCTAAATAGCATTGACAAATAGAGATATAACCTTGCTTCATAAAACTATTTCTAAGTGAAAATAAGATTTGTGTTCAAAGAAAGCTATTATAAACATTAAATAAAGTTGGCTTTAATAATTATATTGTAGGTCCCAGTAAGTGAACAGGAGTTGAAAGGCAAATCTAAGAAGAAGGATATGGAAAAGACCAGCAAAAGTGGTGACGAAAAAGACGGAGAGAAGAGCCAGACAAGCGCCTGCGAAGGCAAGGTATGTGGTATTGTATATAACAATATTAATTTTATTTTTTAAGCGAAACTTCTTTACGCACACTTGACTTGGGGGTAAACTGGCGAATGCGTTACGCGTTACGAAAAGTGTGTTCGGGCTAGGCGAATGGGAGTTGAGTGGGGGATAAAAGCAAGAGAAAGCATTGCGCGCGCACTTTTTTTTCACTTATAGTTAGTAAATGGAATATGTATTTGTGCATACATGTATATATATTGTACACACATGCATATATATGAGTCGTATAGAATCAAAGGCGGCAAAGTAGGGCGAACCAAATATTTGGCAAATCAAAAAAAAAACTGTTAAGTCTCGTCTTTAAGGGAGGATTTTTATAATTGACTTTTCACTACGATTTGTAGAGAAACTTAAAAGCCTTATCTACCTTATACGCCTGCCACCGTAGCATGTGCACAAGTTACATTACAGCACGTTTTTTTCATCGCATCTAACTGTCAAACTCCATGAGCTGCGTATGGTATTCGCAGAGGCGACGGATTTTTGGTCACGTGATCACAGATTAATCTCAGCAAATTGCTATTACCGAACGGCCCGACTAACCGTAGATTAATTTCTAACCTAAAATAAAAACTTAGCTCACAACATCACAGATACATGATATTTAACCAAATTAATCTCTCTTCAAAGACCAAATGGTCAAAATACTTTGAGCAAACAGATTTACATCGGACTGATCTGAGCGGAATTACCGAAAGCTTCAGACTAAAAAGATTGTTCAGATGCAAATAGCGAACGCAGCTATTGTAATTTGGCAATTCGACGTTATAAAAACGCTATATATCCTACTAGCTGTGCCCCGCGGTTTATTAGGGATATTTTCCCGCAGTAAAACGAAGCCTATGAGTTAATCCAGGGTGTCACCTAACTCCATACCAAATTTTATTAAAATCGTTCCAGCCGTTTAGACGTGAAGAAGTAACATACATACATACTCACAGACTCCCAAACTTTCGCCTTTATAGTATTACTAGCTGTGCCCCGCGATTTATTAGGGATATTTCACGGAAGTAAAACGTAGCCTATGAGTTAATCCAGGGTGTCAGCTAACTCCATACCAAATTTAATTAAAATCCCTCCAGCCGTTTAGACGTGAAGAAGTAACAAACATACATACTCACACACTCCCAAACTTTCGCAAATCAAAATGCATTGTTTTGACAATTAAGTATGGAGAGTAGGGCATAGCTAAGGAGTCTGGGTATTTCCAGTTTTTGTTTGCCGTGGAACAAATCGCATATGCCATGTTATCGTTTTTCTCCTAACGGAAACAGTAGGTACACATTATTTTAATATATATTTTGATCCGCAAGTTTTACAAAGTAATAATTAAATCAGTAGGAGAAATAAAGTAGTTTATAAATTTTTTCATAAATTTGTTAGTGGTGGGTCAGAATCTGGCATTGTCATTTAGCTTTGGCTGCCCGAATTCGAGTAATGCCTTTCGTGCACACGAATACGGGCTCACGGCCAAATGTTATTGTGCCAGAAGCAAGATAGAATATTTTTTTTCTTCATCTATCAGGTAGATTATGTATCAAAAATGACGTATAATATATAGACAGGTTATACGCCAACATTATTGCATTCTAAAAAGTTGTCCCCGCCCCAACTTTCCTTGGCAACAGCCGCACTAAAGTAGTCTCTTTCACTCTAATGCATAAAGCAGATTACGTCTCGCTCTTTAGGCTCCACGTGTCAACGGTGTCAGCAACTGTTAGATAAGTAATTACTAAAAAAATTTACATTTTTTTCTTTAAAACTGTACTTACGAATGATATGACACATTTTCCTTGTCACTAATAGTTCCCGTGTATTGAGAGCTCGATGGCGCAAGTGGTTAGTGCGTTCGGCTGCGATCATTGAAGTTAAGCAACTTTCGCAGTGGTCGGTCATTGGATGGGTGACCAAAAACTTACTATCTCCAGCTCTTCCGTGCTTCGGAAGGCACGTTAAGCCGTTGGTCCCGGCTGCATCTGCAGTCGTTAGCACCCACTAATCCGCACGGGGCCTGCGTGGTGGGTCATGGCCCAATCTCCCTATTCCATCCATAGGGAAGGCCTGTGCTTCAGCAGTGGGGACATTAATAGGCTGATGATGATTTTGTGTTCAGTCTGAAAAAACGTAACTCCTTCTCTACTGTCGCTCGTGCCCGTTAAAAAAACGGGGGAAAATAAATTCGCCTTTGCTCAATCACTTAAAAACTCTAACCAGGAATCCAAAGAAGGCAAGGAAAAAGAAAAGGAAAAGAAGAAACGCAAGATCCGCCTAGAAATGCACCTTGAACAAGTGTTTCTCGACACTGCAGACGCTTACGTATGGATCTACGACCCGATGCCCTGGTATTACTGGGTGTGCGGGGCATTAGTGGTGTTCGGCACAATCGGCGTTTGTATGTTCCCCTTATGGCCCGCTACAGTCAGGTGAGTGAGAGTGTATTCGACTATCGATAATAGCCGACAGTTACTAACAATATCAATGATTTACGACCGATGCTGTTGTATTATGGGTGTGCGGGGCGTTAGTGGTGTTCGGCACAATCGGCATTTGTATGTTCCCGTTATGGCCCACTACAGTCAGGTGTAATACTAAACGATGTAACTCGCTGGCCAATGACTGGTAAAAATATTTTATTTTGTGGGTCATAAGGTTGATTTTCACATTTTCCCTTTTTTCACCTTTATCGCTTTTTTCCAAGTATCAGAATAATTTATAAAAGAAACAATAGTTCGATTAATAAGATAAAAGGTCGTATGTGCGAAATCACATGTTGTTATTTGTAACCTTAATTCTTTGTGAGATAGTTGTTATGAGGTTCAACTTAAACTGTTTTAAAACATTTATCTTTGTTCATTGGGAATCGAATGTAGCTGCATGAGTTTAAACATAGGCGGACAGATTTTTAGCTTTGATTTTGTATGCAACCCGTTATCTATAGAATTGTTGATCGAAGGTGGCGATCAACCATTTTGCCCGCATGGTGTTAGCGGTTACCACCGTATAGCCTGTCTGTGTGGTGGTGAGACCGTGGACAACCGACCAAGAACGGTGGTGTGCGTGAAAACCTAAGAAACAATTTCATACCTGCTTACTGCTGCTTTTACAGGCCTCTTCGAAAAGAAATCTATAGGTGTAATATTAGAGTGTACTCGACTATTGACGACGATTACCGACAATTGACGATAATAGCCGACAGTAACAGAGAGTATTAATGATCTACGACCCGATGCCGTAGTACTACTGGGTATGCGGGGCTTTAGAGGTGTTCGGGACAATCGGCGTTTGTTTGTTACCGTTATGGCCCGCTACAGTCAGGAGAGTGAGGGTGTACTCGACTATTGACGACGATTACCGACAATTGACGATAATTACCGACAATTGACGATAATAGCCGGCAGTTACTAATAATATTAATGATTTACAACCGATGCTGTGGTATTATGGGTGTGCGGGGCGTTAGTGGTGTTCGAGATTTTAGGCGTTTATGTTCCCGTTATCACCCACTACAGGCACAGCGAGTGCTTGACGATAATTACCGAAAATTTCCGACAATTAGCATTTCCTACTACCCCATGACTGGTGATGTCACCATCCGTTTTTTACCATTCATGACTGATTGAATTATGGCGGCTGCAGAGCCTCCAATAGACGACACAGTTTGATCGTGAGTCTTGGCCTTCCTCGATTCTAGATTCTTCCATTATTTTATTGCCGACCATTTATCGACAATTACTGACAGTATATTATCATATAGTCAATAATGTAGAAAGGGCGATAAGCCGTTTTTCGGCAACATGGTTTTATAGTAAAAAAATAAGGTTTTATATGTGTATTTGGACTTTACGGCGAAAGTGTATAACCCTCAGAACCATGAAAAAACAATGTGTGTTCTGGCGAATATCACATAATTGTTACGTATAAAGGCCTAATGTGGCAATAGGCTAGTTTACATTTTTTGGAAATATGTTTTACATGGTTAATAATTGTTCTGTTAGACCGAAAAAAATGTATCATATTTTTTTTTTATCTAGAGAACTACAAAACTTTAATTTTAAAATAGATTTTTTATGGACATACAAAAAATCGCTGTCATCGCTGTCGGCCATTTTATGCTATAGATTATCTATGCTATGACGCAAAAAAAAATTGTAAACAAACACTCGTAAGCACGTAGGAAATAACCTATCTGAATTTATATTATAAAACAATGATTTCTAATAGATTTCATGGTAAATATAGTAATTATCATGATTTTATTATACGAGAATGTAGTAACATATCGTTTAGGACTCCAAAAAAGTTGTGGTTTAACTTGCTCAGAGAAATACACATACCTACACATGAACACACGTTTAAAACTTCTTTTAGCAAACATCACTTCAATGTAAATACTCTATATAATATATATATATATATACTAAGTCACAGAGTTTTGTCGTATCTGCTTTCACAAATCCAGCGTCCACCATTAATTTAGTCAACAAAACCAATAAACGGAAACTTTTCTACGAAATATAAGACTTTTTAGATATATTTTAGTCCAAAGAAAACAAAAGAAACCACAGTAACACGACAATGAATTGTTTACAAATTTTGTGACGTCACAATCATGGTGGACAGCGTATTTAGTGTTTTAAAAGCATAGACTAAAAAACTATATTACAAAATAAATTACTACAGCCATCTTCTAATTTTATGAAGTGAAATCGGTGGATTTAGGTTCCTCAAACGCTCTCTTTGAACGAAACTGGTTCTAGATCTTATGAGCCTTTTCTCGTTTACAGACTAGGCGTTTACTACCTAAGCATCGCTGCTGCAGCATTCCTGGTGATGATAATAGTTCTTGCCGTCCTACGCGTGGTGGTCTTCTGTCTGGTGTGGATACTGACTTTGTCGCGGCATCATCTGTGGCTGCTGCCCAACCTTACGGAAGACGTGGGCTTCTTCGCTTCGTTCTGGCCTCTATACAAAGTGAGTTGAGGGTAGTTTGATAGATTTAATGGTCTAAGATCCGAACCTACATCAACCTTTACCGAGCTGATAATAGAATGAAACATATTTTATCATGAATTTAGTATATTATTAAATATATTAAAAATGGGTTGGCTTAAAAAATCCTGGACAAATTATTTTTAATTATTTTAAAATAAAAAAAAAATTGAATCTTCTAACATCAAGATATAAGAAAATGATGTCCTAAAAACAGTAAAAAACATATAAAATGTGCAGCCGTTTGGTTGTCTATTATTTACCTGGGCGAACTAGTGGGTTGCTAGGTATAAACAGGTATGTGGATGCTAGAACATTTTCTTATTATCTTGATGTTGCAACAGTTATATTTTGAAATCATTTTTTTAAATAATTAAAAATGTCCATGATTTTTTTAGGCAACCCAATTTTAATATATTTTGTAATATACTAAAGTCATGATAAAATATGTTATTACCTATTATCAGCTCGGTGAAGGTCTATGTAGGTTTTCTAGTATAATAGAATGGTATTGGTTGTAATTACATTTATTGCACACAAAATAGATAAACTAAATTGGGACATTAGATGAAAGGTTAAAATAGATTTCATTTGTGATTTTTTTAATTTGATAGATTGTGCAGTAGTTACTTATAAACAAGAAATATTAATAGGGGCACCTATTATATACAAGATGGTATACGTGTAAAGCTTTTCATAATTTTTTATATTAAATCGTCATGTCACCTGATGATAAATATAACAACACAGCTAATAGACTTATATTAAATTGTTTAATATCCATTTATTTTTCAAATGTTCACAGACATCAAACATTTATTAAAACAACTTCTCGATAGGGTATTTGACAGTATTAAAAATAAAGTACCAATTGTTAGCATCTGTGTTTAGAATGAATATTGGCAGGGATTTTTACTATTTTTACAAAAAAATATATTCATAATTTTACTAAAAACCCACGAAAAAGATAATATTTTTTTATCTATTGTCACGTGACCACCCAAAACCGTGACCGTGACCCAAAACGCTTGGAATTGACGTCACACGCAAGTAAACTTCCGGTTAAAGTGACATTACATTGTATCGTTTGACGTTTTAATAACAGTCATGTGACGTCACACACTAGTAAGACGCCATATTGTCCAGAGAAACGTTTTCGCGGCAACTTGAAAATGGAGTTTTTGACATGGTTATTTTTACTGAAATACACAACAGAATTATGAATATCCTTTTCCTCCTGACTTTTTACGGACTCCATAAACATTTGTCAATAACGTGAGATCGTTTTCTAAAACTTGTCAAATACCCTATTTAGCGTCGAAAATAGTGATACCTATGTATTTATATGATTGTGATATGTAACAAGAGAGATATGTATAAAAGTTATAAGAAACGTATGTTGAACTCGTTGAGACAGCCTTTTATTTGTTTAATAATGTTAATTAATCGCGCTTAAAGCTTTCAATAAGTGTTTCAACAAATGTTTAACTATTACAGTACGAATACCGCGGCCCCGGTTCTGAAAGCGACAAAGCGTCCAAGAACAAGAAGAAGCGCAAGAAAGACAAACAGTCCGACGATGAGGCAGAAAAGGCGCCTCTGCTGCCCGAAGCCGAGCCACCCGAGCGAGAGCCAGAGCCGGGAGATAATAAGTGAGTTCTACGCACATTTTACTTAAATTAACATAATTATAATCCAAATTGATATTATTAATTCTACGCACGTAATAAATGAATGGTCATTTATAACGTAAGGCTATTTTCGCTAGTTTTTCACTCCCTCCCCCCCTACTTGAGAAAAAAATAAGAATAGTCCAACAACCACCCCCCAGTTTCATATTTCTTACGTAAGAATCTTAAAGAATAAATAAATAGTTAACTTAGAGTATACATTAAACTATAGAGAGCCAGTATCGCTCGTTATGCCCAGCGTAAGCGTGATCTATATATACTTTAATTATGGTATAGCGCTTTCATAGTGTTGTTCCCCATGCATGACGACATTTCTGCAAAATTATCGATAGTTTCTATTATTATGTCTTGTACTGTAATGATTTTTTGGTTAGGTTTACTATGGAATTGTGAATATTAGGTTGGCAAATACAAATTTAACGATTTTGTTCTTAGATTTTTGTGAAATATTCTTAGTTTTTTGACGAAACATATTTTTAATTTTCGTTTCATGGGTGGCCTGAATAAAAAACCATTTTATTTTTATTATAATTTTTATTTTATTTAAAGCTAAAAACAAAACAACGCCCCTTATTGGGTCATTCCATGTAGAGGTGTTACAAGCCGTACACATTTTAAGAATAAATAAGTCGTGGTCTTAAAAGAAAACATGTATTTTTTATTATTTACGTATTTATATATAACCGCTGTATAATATATTTATAGTAATAAATGAAAAAATGTCATAATATAGCAAACAATAAAAGATAAACGTACATTATTTAGTCATCACATTGTTTGAATAAAGATATTCAGTAAGCGGATACGATACATTATGCATATAAACTTACACTATGACAAAAGAAACTATCGTTACGCGTATCGACAGTAGTACAGCACTTATCATTGAGAAGAAAGAATGACCGGTGATAGCTGTCAGTGGTGACCCGCCCTCGTCCCTCGCATCCCCTTTTGAAACCCTTCGGAATTTTGCTAAAACATGTAAATTAGTTGTTAAATATTACTTACCGATGAAAGAAATGTTGCTATTTCTTTGATTTTGCTTCCGGGAATCATTTTTACAACCTGGCCTGGCCGGCCTGGTCTTGCCAAATAAATGTTGCCCACCGTCTCAACGTCAAGCGTATTGTTTTGTTACTGATTGACAGTGACAAGGACGAACGGTGATGTTCATATCTGTGCTTACGGTTCATATATAATAATAATAATATTTAGTTGTTCTCTTCTCACACACTGAAATTTACAAAATACTATAGGTAATTTATACAAATACAGTCGGTTAAGCATCAGACATCATTAAGTATTGCAAAAGCTGCGTATTTGAAGTGTGAGAAGCTGGTGCCTGAAGTAGGCATTAAAGGCCTGTAGTACAGGTCGCCAGGCTCCCACCCCACAGAAATTATCCTACATTGACATATATTGTAATATAACTTATAGCTTATACATATTACCCATATTATTATTCTACTTCTTCCTCAATAATTTAGCGATCACTTAGTTTAGTGCTATTTGTCTATTAAACCTAAGTTATTTATACACTACTGTTGAGTTACAAAGAGGGACTCCGTGCTGTCATAATTCATGGCACTCAACCATTCGTGCACCTTTACTTTGCATTCGTAAGTATTACATGTGTATATTTGTAGTCTTCTATCTATGCTGTTATACAAAAAGCCACCCAAAAAACAAGAATACCTTTTCGTAAAAGCTTTTCTAACTGCATAAGTCGGAAAAACACTCCTGCTCCTTCGTCTGTCACCAACGATACTACTACCTGCCTCATATGCAATTGCAGAGTGTTGTTTTAGCACAGTCTCCAAAATAAAAAGTTGACGAACTGTTAAGACTTGCCAGTGGCGATAAAGAAGCTCGTCGGAGTATCTAAAGGGAAAGAATCCATATACTTTTAAAATAGCCCTTTGCGCAACTTCTATTTGCTTTAGGGTACCCTTTGCAACCCCTCCCCAAGAAGTGATGCAATATGTAAGTAGGCTTCTTGCAAGTGCAAAATAAATACGTTTTAATGCTTCCTTATCCAACACATATCGCAAATTTTTAAAAATGTAAATAAGTTTACGCAACCTGGCGGACATCAATTGCAGGTGATTTTTGAATGACAAATTACTGTCTATCGTTACACCAAGATATTTTATGTTTGAGACAAGTTCTATTGATTTATTACATGAGCATTTAATTTCTTCAAAATTGTTGCATTCATGTGAAATTATAGCTCTGGCGGGTCTCTCTTCTAATGGCAATTTACGCATGGAAAACTTGACATATTTCGTTTTATCGGTGTTAAGGGTTAACAAGTTAGTTTTTAACCAGCTATTAATTAAGTTGAATCCCTGTTGGGCAGCATCCTGTGTCAATTCCCAGGTGGAAGCAGAAAAGAGAAGACATGTGTCGTCTGCGTAAGATATAATACGGGCAAATGGAATCTGCAAGGAAGACAGGTCATTAATATATACCAAAAAAAGTGTAGGACCCAGAATACTGCCCTGAGGAACTCCGTAGTTGATCTGAGCTTTGTCACTCACATAATCCCCTATTTTGGTACTTTGTGTTCTATGAGAAAGATAGTCTGTCAACAGATCTAATTGCACACCTCTACAGCCATATGATTCTAACTTTTTCAATAAGATTGGTACCGAGACCGTGTCGAAGGCCCGCGCGAGATCTAGAAAAAGGCCTATCACCTTGTTACCCTTGTCTAAGTTTTTAACCACAAAATCTGTCAACTCATGCACAGCCTCGGTGGTAGATCTGCCACGTCGAAATCCAAACTGATTATAAGAAAGCAGACCGTTCGATTCAAGATAGTTCACGAGTCGAGAGTTAATAATTTTTTCCAAGATCTTAGAGAACGCAGTGAGAATTGATATAGGCCGATAATTCCCGACACAGTCTCTATCACCAGATTTGTAAATCGGATGAACGATAGAGTGTTTAAAAGCAGAGGGGAAAACTCCTGAGTTGAGGGAAAGGTTAAAGATATGTGTTAAAGGAGCGATGAGAAATGATCTAAATTGTTTTATGAATACATTGGAGATGCCGTCCCAACCATCAGTGCACACGTTCTTGAGACTCATTATAAAACGCTCGACTTCATCTTCATCAGTATTTAACATTGCAAATGATGCCGTTCTTGTCGGTATGTGTCTTACAGCCTTTGCATGATTAGGGAGCTTATTAGAAGCAATTTTTTCTGCTAATTCTTCGCCCACTCTTGTAAAATAAGAATTCACTGCATTTATTGACTCTGTTTGGGTGGATGAAACTTTGAGAAGTTCAGTCGATTGTTCTTTCATTTTAACAGTGTTTGAAATCTGTCCAATTGCCTTCCACAACCTCCCGTTATCTTTACCAGCTTTTGTGACTAAATCTTTGTTGTAATTGATTTTTGCTTTTTTTATTAGAGCATTACAGTAGTTTCTATATCTCGAATATGTGAGTTTAATTGTTTCATCATTAGGGGATGTTTTGTGCTTTTTGAACAGATTATCACGGTTCTTTATGCAGCGTAACAGACCTGGAGTTATCCAGGGTTTTATAGTTCTTTTTTTGTTAGGGATTGTAATGGTTGAAGTGTTTTCTGAAATTATTTTTTGCAAGTATGAAATAAATAAATCCGTTGCAACATTAGCATCACTACATTGAATGATAAAATCCATACTATTGTTCTTTAATTCTATCCTAATTTTATCGTAATTTAATCTTTTCAAAGTTTTGGACCCTCTTTTTGTATTCGATTTAGTTGCGAAACTTAATATGACAGCTTGGTGATCGGTAACGGATGAGTTAAGGACTATCGTAGTAGCTTTCATAGCGGAGCGAAGGATTACATGGTCGAGACACGCCTTATTACGCGTTGGAATATTGTGAGCAGGAAGTAAGCCGTGAAAAGCGTTAAGGTTTAAATATTCCATAGCTCTAGCATCCGTCGATCCTGTTACTACATCCAAGTTGATATCGCCAATAATAGCGACATTTTTAAAACATGAAAGAGACACAAGCACATCATTAAGCGAAGTTAAAAATAAATCTATATTGTGGAAGCAAGGTGGACGGTAAATTGCCACTATGGCGATATCATGATATTGAATTATCAAACAATTTCCTTCTTGAAAAGGAGGTTCCATAACCTTGACATCAAGTTCACTTTTGTGATAGATTACAATACCATCATTTTGATTGAATAATTGTGCTGACTCATAATGAGAGTAACCATCTAATTGTGGAACTGTCATATTGCCCGACAGCCAACACTCCGTCAAAACTATAACTTCACATTGAGTTTTGATTTGGGTTAAAAAAATTTGAAAATTGTCGAAATTACGGGAGACACTACGAATATTTTGTTGCAATATATTTAAACAAGAGCTTTGGTTTAGTTTAAGAAGGTTACAATTTTGAGGATCGCAGTTTATAACTTGAGAGACAGAAACGTTATCAACATTTGACAATAATGTATTTATGTTATCCACTTTTATTATAATGTGTCCTATTGTACAAATTCAGGGAATTAAAATAATAGTTTAAATTATACCTTTTCATAGATAAACACATCCATAAGCACAAATGAAATTTATATCTTATAGCGTGCCTATAGAGGATACTCTTGCAAAGTGGATCGTCTTGATTAATTAGCCATGATACAGTTATCAGCCAAGCAGCACCAAATAGAAGACTCACGAAAAATCTTTGTAACACATGTTGTATGTCTAAAATAATGCTTAAGTAATTTTCTAAGAATAGTACAGATAACACTAATCTATGTATTTTTTTTATATTATATATCATGAAGTACAACAGCAGTAAACTAAGATTGCAAAAAACAACACTCCACACATGATCAACTACCCCAAAAAACAAAATTACTAAACAAGGTGTATTATAGTATATATAACCGCTCATCAGTGCCCCAGTCAAACCTGAACTGCAAGAAACATGCAACAAATTACAGATGCTGCCATTCAAAAATTGCATAAAAATTTGACAGAAAACTTGTACAAGATATTCAGTTTTATTATGAGTATTGAATGTGGATTTTATTATTTTATTTAAAATATATGGATCGATGTCTTGACATGTGATGTAGTGTAATATAGTGTTGTGTATAAGAGAACTTTGTGTGAGTAGCGTAATCACATCACATAAACAATAACAAAAAAGTGTGCAACGACTTAAAAACAAAATTGCACTATAGAAACGCATGCAATAATTAAACAAATCACAAGAAATTAGCAAATATATGAAACAGGTGTACTGAGCTACTTCAGGAACTATGAGTCATTTAAGTTTCGACAGAGTTTCCTCCGACTCAATTCTTATGGATGGCAAGCCGTCTTTTTTCCTCAGATAAACCTTTCCGTAAGATACCCAGCATCTTTCATAATGGTTAGACTTGGCAAACTCCTTAGATAAATAAAACAGGCGTTTTGCTCTGTTAGTCAGACCCTCACTTACAAAAACTGGTCTAGGGGGTCCCTCTAAGTCAAGATGTGTAGTACGGAGTTTACCATCTTCGTTTTGTTTATTGAACTTTTTAACTAAGCGAATGACATTCTCTTTTAATGATGTCGTATCCAGAACCACAGTAATTGGGGTAATTTCTTTTGTTGTCGACTTAACTCGATAAATGTCTCTTATATTGTTATCCTGGATGGGCTGCTGAACAACAGAGCCAAGCTGCTTCACAACTTCACTGAGAGACTGTTTATTTTCATTCGCTAATTTTGGGAGATTCCTAATTTCTATTGTGGATGCGAGCGATGCACGCTCGAGCAGCTCGACCCTATTTTCCAGTATGTTGATACGAGCCTTGCACTCTTCATTTTCTTTTTGAAGTCCATCCATCCTCTTCAATGCATCATCATATTTGGCTGACAAAAAATCTATTGATTGCTGGATATCAGAGTTCTGTTCGCTAATACTTTTGAAAGATGCGCAGAAAATTTCAAATTTATGTTCCTGTTGAGTCTTGATATCCATAATCATTTGTTTCAGCTCACCCATCCCAGACTCGCCAAATGAATTGTCATCAAATTTTCTTTTGGTTCTTCGACCAGAGGTAATGCTAGTTAGTTTTTGTTCATAGTCCCCGCTCGTTACATTAAGAGTGGGATCCGATAGGTGTCGCGCAGGGGAACCTTCCATTGTAGTATCGCCTGTAGAACGCGATGTGGGTGTACGTATCATGATTATTATCGCTCCTGTGAGATGAACGTCAGTGCGCCTGATTAGGTACCTTAATAACAGATGATCCGTAGCGAAACAGGTTAGCGCAGTCACTGCTCTGCGTGTTTGTTCGTAGTGCGCAGATGAGTCGTCGTAGCCCGCTGGCTCGGAGTGTCGTAACGCAGCACTGTATTAGACATGGGCGTTTTTGGTTTTGAACGCAAACGGATATTTATCGGATTTCAGATTTCAAAATCGATTTTAAAATCCGTTTTTAGATATCCGATTTCAGATGTGCCGAACTTAGCTAATTCACTAGTTTGTGTTATGATTTGGTTTTATTAGCTAACGACAATCACAAACAATTAATTGTAGGAAGCAAGGATACTCGTAGATTTTCGCGATTTTCCTTATCTAGGCTTAGGACTAGCAGAAAAGTTATGTTTACGGTTAAGAGTAAAACTTTTGCGGCGCATTTAAAAATCGGCTTTTATACAATGATTTCTTTTTACATATTTTTTTTTGTTTTTCTGTTTGTTTTTATTATTTTTCAAACCATTTACAAAATTACTAAAACTACAAACCGAATTAAATTACTTCAGGTTAGCGTCCAAAAATGTAAGTTGCTCGACTTTTGATGTTTTTAGACGACATATCTTTTCAGTGATAAATAATCCCGCCTCAGAGAAGAGCAATAGATTTCCGTAAACAGCGAATCGAAATCGGACTTCCGAGCACGAAATCTGACTTCCGAAAACGAAAGCACGAATTTCGAATCCGATTTACATTTGGATACTTGTGGTATTAGATCGCTAGCGATTTGGTTCGGTTAGATTTCTGAAATCGGATTTTCTTGCTGAGAAATCGTTCGGTATCGATTTGTGTTTGAAATCGGGTTTTGGATTCGTTTTGATATATCGGACGCATGCCTACACTGTATCCAATGTGTTCCGTAATTTCGTAACAATGTGTTACCGTGCCGGTGGCTCCGAGCGCAACTCCGCGACAACGCGAACCCGTAAGTCACAAGTTCAAATCCAACACCGACGAGCCAAAGAATATTATTTATTTTCGATTTTAGAATTTTAATTTATAATATTATAAGCAAACTATATGATTCACACGTCCACTCGCGATCGCATCCGGGGGGGAAGAGGATAGTAAAGCGCGCTCTATAGTTTAATGTACACTTTAAGATAGTTACACTTACTTACAATTTTTATTTTCAAAGTACCAAATTTTAGGAATATTTATTTGTACCTACAAAGATGCTACATTTTTTTATTATTTTGGTGGTAATAAACTGCTTTTTCAAAGTATAATCTTTACTTTGCGCATTCTTGTGATCTTACGTAAGAACTATTAAGACACCCCAATATTATTAATTCTATGCACTTTATACATATACTTACATAATAATAATCCAAACAAATATTATAGATCTGAAAGTTTGTGTATTTGTATGTTTGTTACACAATCACGCACAAAATTGATTTGGATGAAATGTAGTACGCATAAAGTTTATTTCCTGGATTGATACATAGGATACTTTATATCCCGGAAAATGACAGGTTCCTTTGGGATCCGAAAAAACTAAAGTAAATGCGGACGCAGTCGCGGGCGGCCGCTAGTATAAAAATAAATCCCTATTTCCCTTGGTCACGCCATAAATTGAAAACAAATTCATCGTTTTTTCAGATTTCTAATACTTTGTAGAAAGTATTTACTTAGAATTTTTTAAATATTTTTATCGGTTACAACGTCTATAGAAGCCAATACTGTTAAATCATTTTTTCTCCTTAGCCATTTTTACCAATTGAGTTTTGGGCCTTCTCTGCAGCTGTTATTTTAAAATCGTCTATGTGTATGTCGTCTATATTAAAATAAATAAATAACAAATAAATAATAATAAAAGATTGGTCTTTCTAAAATAAATAAAAATAATAAAAACATTGGTCTTTTTTGGGGGAATTTCACACTAATAATTGACTTGTCGACAATGCATAGTAAATAAAATAAATAAAACTTAATTATACAAAAATCTTTGTAAATTATCAAGGAAATAAATAAATCAATATTTCCAAAACTCACACCAATTAGCCTAGCCCTAAAGTAAGCACTGTAAGGCTTGTGTTAAGGATACAAGGGTAACGGATAGAAACATATACAGTACATATATAAGCATATTTATATGGAAACAAACACTAAACATGCATGACTGGAGTACAAATGCTCGTATTCATCACACAAACATCTGCCCCCACCGGGATTCGAACCCGGGACCTCTCGAGTCGGCGACATCATGAAACTCGGCGTATAAACCACTGGGCCACGGAGAGCGTCAAAATTACTTTCATTATGAATAATTTAACATTTTACCTATATTATCATGCACAACGATCATTCAATAAAACGCTTTATTTCACCAGGGAGGACACGGAAGTAACGCCAATATCGCCGAGCACAGACAAACACTCAGAATCCGAGTCTGAGAATAGCCAACGATCGTCCACCGATCGCGACTTCGAAATCGTCGAAGCGGATGACGTAGAACCCGATCCCAAAGACGTCACCACTTAGATCTCTCATCAACTTTTTATAGCGCTGACATCGAGTATACTTTGGACTCCGCACAAAAGTATAGGTTTTTTGTAAACAGTTGAAACGTGTAACCGCAGTATTTAAATTTACAGTGAGATTTCTAGGGAAATTGTAAGTTTTTGTATTTTTAACGATTTTGACTGACACGTTTGTTTTTTTTTGTTGTTGTGGCGAGAGCGTTGACCGCTTTCGCATTGGAGACAATAAATTGTGTATACAAATGTGATTTACTGTTTTTTTTATCGGTTTTCCTTGCGTTTGTGTTGTTTTTGTTTTTATGAGTTTCACTTGTAAAACATCAAAATATAATTATGTGTGAAGTGTACAATTTTCTAGTAGTTTAAAAATTAAAAAAAATATATAAGAACATGAAAACTGTTAAATTGGAGTCTCATTAAAGAAAGAAAAAATTCCTGATGGTAACCCTTTTGCTAACCAGACTATTGTCTTAGCTATTTGGTAATTATGATTTATTTTCTGTAAAAATACATAATTAAATCTAAAAAAAAAACTGAATCACGGATTACGGATAATAGTATAAACGGATAATATGGCACGTCTTGTTACTACAAAATTTGAAAACTTCTTTATCTCTGCTTGATTTCTTAAATACATTAATCTATTGTCATCGCAAAGAAAATGACAGGATTAACTTTAATTGAACTTAAAAAAATACATCTCTGCGTGTCTGTTAGTTTAGTGACGTTTCAATATACTTTGAAATGTAACTCAGAGAGCCATCGGTTAGTTAACCAAGACAGTCAATTTCCAATTGACAGACCTTTATATCGTATAATTTAAGATTCAGAATCTGTATATAGATATATGGATATAGATGTATGGCTGTCTATAAATAAAACTATTCGGTTACATTCCACGAAAAGAATAAAGCATCTGTTTACGTTCAAACTACTCTGAATTTTATATTAATAAATCAAATAATAGCATTTTGTTTTTCAACAATATGCTGACTCAATCAATGGAACATGATGATTGTCATTTCGTCCCCATTAGATGATGAAAGATCATTCTTTGACACGGAAAATCTGAAAATAATGATTTATGGATGCATTTATATAAATTTAATGATTACTTTTAAATCTCTTTTCTGTGAGGCATGCCACTTAAACCGTTACAGCATGTCTGTTGTCATGGCTGAATTCCACACAGCCACCCACAGTTTTAGAATTACCTATGTGTTTTTATTCTCTCATTAATTATGGCTCTCAACTCTTGTTAGTTGTTATCACTTCCTATGGACTGGAAAAGTCCTTTCCAATTTTTTTATTCAAGTAAACAAAAAATTTACAAATCAAAAAAAGATCCTAGACGACAATTATCGTGTAAAATTATGGTAAAATTAAATTATAATCGTTTTACAACCCACTAAAGGTACATATTTTTATTTTACGGATTTGACTTATACTACGCGCTATAAAGTATACTTGATCTTAGCACAAACAATATGGGCACCGGTCTCGATGTCTCAATAAAAAAATGCCGATAAAAATTGGTCGTAAAATCATGGTTGGTGTTGCAAGTAAAAAATACGAATCTTAGACATAGATATAAATAATGGTTAGCTGTCACATTTTTCTCAATTTGAGATTGGGAACTTGATCGTGTATTTGCGTTGTATGAATATTAAGAATCCAAATACACGATATATTATTCATTCACACGACTCGGTATAATCGCGCAATCGATGAAAGATTACAATGTTAACACAATGAGGAATTAGTACGCCGCATTTCCACTTAATGGCGCACCTCTTATATTTATATTCAATTGCATTTGATCACTACGCAAACGCGTTCCAGTGAATCAAAATATAGGAAGATTTATAAACATTAATTATTTTCTAGAGTTTGGATATCGCAACCTGTCGTTAACTGTAAAATTGAAAATAATTTGATATCCTGCTTTATAAATGTTGATTGCAGTCGTCGTCACGTCGTGTGATTAGTGAAATGTATTTGTTATTTTTTCATGCCTTTTTGTATCGTATTCACTATTATTAAAATACTTTGTTTTTTTTTTCTTGCGTCAATTTGAGAGTATTAAATATATATAATATTTATAATATTGCCATAAAAATAAGATCATTTGACTTATTAAAATTATATTCTATGAAAACAGTCAAATTGTAAAATTTTGTTAGGTAACAAACAGCATGATCATACTCGTATTAACGTACAGGCAACAAGCTCAAATATCACATAATAAATTAAGCAATGAACTTATATACTATTTATATGTTAATGGTTCAAAATTCAATTGAAGATATTGAACAGTTTTGCATAATAATAATGTTTGCGATGGCAACACCATATCGCAAACATTATTATTATGCAAAACTGTACACATACACATAAAATGACTTGTAAAATTTATTTTTTATGAAATATGTAATCGAATGATTTAATAGATAGAACACTAAGTACGAAAACCTTATTTATTGTTATGGTATTAAGGTAGCTTTCGGTTATTGACTGCTTGTGTTACTAACATTATTCAATTTAGTATTTTGGGCTTACTACATATGAATCATAGGTTTATTTTAGTATGTGTTAGACATATTGATAGTGCTGTGCTGTATATAAAAAATATGTTAGTTGATATTTGTTATTGTCCATTGATTTTGTGATTTTTTGGTGCTGTGGGAGTCTATGGATTGTTGCTATAAATAGATTACATTAGAAAGTGGTTTAGCAAACGAAATTGAAAGTTATTGCCTATGAATTTAGGCTCATATTGGTATTTTTTCTTTGGTTGTAATAAGCGCGCAGCATTCTATATTCTGTATGCCATGCTCTTCTAATGTGAACTTAAATTAACACTTCTATTATTTCAATTTATCTATTCTTCGCGATGCTTTAATTAAATAGATTTGGTCAGAAAAGGTTATTATAGTTACTCGATACTTAAAGGCCGTATATAAATGTAATGTTGTTTGACACGATATTTCGATCATAAAATAAAAGGAATTGTCATTAAATTCGAAATAATAATTATTTATTTTGTTAGTTTTGGGTTCACAGCGCTTACTTTAAACGTGAATCTACCGTTTAATCTAAATCCTGGGTTCATAAATTTAAATATTTAATTTTGAAGTTGCATTGTGGTTCGGTTCCCGCTTAAGATAATCGGGATAATTTTACCTGTAGTATTCCATCTACATAATATCTTACGATTCACCAATTGTTTTTAGGGAATATGTCAAATTATTTCTAATATAATAATAATTTTTATTTATGACGAAAACTATTAAGTATTATTTTGTGCGTGTGTAATTTTTTTGACAGAAACAGATATCTTTGCTGTGTAATAATTAAGTTTTATTTTTATTTGTCACTTCGTCATCATTTCGTCCATTTCATTTCAGGTTAAGGTGATCTTGCGATTTTTTTTAAGGGCATGTGTTCATTTATAGGATTCGTATAAGTATAAGCATATATGAAGCGCACGAAGTTGCCAGATCAGTACCCCAAGCACGAAGTTAGACAGATCCGTATTTATATCGCCACAGAATACAGGAAGAGGTTAGAAAGGCCTTGTGGGCGGGGCAGGCGCGCCACAGTAATGGTTGAGCAAATGCTCATAATTTAATCAAGACTTGGTTCTGATTGCACCGTGGCTTTCGAGTGAGAACGCTGATTGGTTCGATTGTGTGATGTCGCGTCGTTTGATTGGCTATTATCGGCCAATCGGTTCCCGTACAAACGGTTTATGATCACCTTTCTTACCTCTTTCTGTGTTCTGTGCATATCGCCATCGTCAACGTTTCTATGGAAACAAAGCAGCCGCAGCGGACGTAATTATCTTACAGAACAGGAGATCTAGTCCCTCTCTCCGAAACGAACTTTCGGTAACTAAGTTCAGACGCAATTTAATTTCGTCAATTTAATGCTGTACTCACGTTGGACATAAAACTATCGAATTCAATTGTTCGTTAAGCAAGCTTAGAGAATCTAAACCTCGTATGTATTTTCGGGCGAACGAATATTATTATAATTAGAATGATGAGATGAGAGAGATGAATAAGAAACATAGTAAGAAACGTGCGAAGTTTCGATCGAAATTTCGTCTTTCGTTGAATTAGAGTAGGCCTACAGTTCCTTCCATAAAATCATTAACGATGTCGATACGAATGTGGATCTGTCAACGTTCATGCTTATGGTACTTAAGACCATAGAGGTATAAGAATAGAGTAGGGGAGATATGTACTCTACTACAAGTGGAAGTGTCAGTCTAGTAGAAAGAGAAAGATGATGAGAGACGGCTAGCTATCTCTCTCTCTTGTGACGCTTGTCGTGTGATTGGTCGGTATTGCTGCGCAGTCGTGTGATTGGTCAGTACTCATCCGTAGGTTTTTCATCCAATGCGCATTCGCGATTAGAGAGTTAAAGGCTAGCCGTCTCTCATCTTCTTTCTCTTTCTACTAGACCGACACTTTAGAGCCGCCTTTCCTACTCTATTCTTATACCTCTATGCTTAAGACTTGAATCGTTGCACGTCAATCGTTCCATGCGAATACATGCCTTAAAAGCATCAGAACCAAATACCTCCTTTTTTTCTATTATCTAATGACGGCTGTTCTTCTTCCGACTTTCTTTGAGTTCAGCTGATTCAATTTGATATTTTTTTTAAATTGTATTTTATTTTTCTACATATATTAAGGTATGACATTATGCTCATTGTTCACGGGCATACATATCTGTGTATTGTAAATATACGTATTCGTTCTAAGATCTTGCTAGTGTTACAAAGACACGTGTTGATCATTGGTGGTTCAATAAAACGGTACTCTTTTGATTATAAGTAGTTTTATTTTTAAACAACACGAACAAATTATCAACATGCATAAGCGAAGAATTCGTAAAGCTATTTTCGCCTGTGATCGCTTATATAGAGATAGGTAGTGTCATAAAATTAAAATGCTATTCTTTTGGCTGAGGAATACGGGTAAAAATTGCTCTTCGAATTGTTGCCTTTTTAAATAATAATAAGTAACCTTATTGTGTACAATTATACATCTATAATATTTCTAGAAAACTTATGTATTACTTATATAACATTGCTTTTTCAAAGATTTTCGTCCATTAATGTCTAAAAGTACTTGAGCATTTTGTAGCAAGGTAAAATACAGTACAGTACTTAACTTTAGGTAGACC